GTGGATCTTGGCCGGCCGGCCGGCCGGCTGGACCGTGGATCTTGGCCGGCCGGCCGGCCGGCCAGCTGGACCGTGGTTCTTGGCCGGCCGGCCGGCCGGCTGGCTGGCTGGCTGATCGAGAAATAGCGGGCCGCGATAAGCTCGCAATGAGATCTCACGCAACAGTGTCCTCACTGCCTGCTTGAATTGCGCAGCGGCTCACTTGTGCACAGCATCTTGCTACATTGGAATGGCCCATGCCTCTAACCCTCGTTACCCTCGGGTGGCTGAGGAAAGGTCTACTATGGTCTACTTGGAATGGTCCCTGCACCCCCTTGGCACAAAAGGTCGGCTACATTGGCTCCTTTCTCCTCTAAAACATGCAACTTGGGCAGCTCACAAAAGGTCTACGTTGGAATGGCACCGGGAGCGCTGTGCAGTGGCCAGTTCAGCACTGTGCTCACGACACTAGCCAGGGCAGGCAGCGCATCTTTGCAAGCTGATCAGCTGCAGCAAGCCATCAAAGCCAACAGAATCCTGAGTCAAGTAAATATCTGTGGCTACACTGGCAAATTGTTGGAATCTGCAGTGCTTTTCGGACTTGGATCTCACCAAAGGACCAAAGGGATCCAAAGGGTTGGTTCGGCCAAGAAGGATTGGCCATGAATAATAGGCACCAGTCTCTAGAGTGCGTGAATTCTCTCTTCTTGCCTTTCAAATGTTTTTTTTTAAAGCAACATGAAGTTACCTCTGAGTAGCTGGGTTCACCAGTGGTTCCAGTGGTTCCTCAAACCACGCTCGTCCGAATGACACCCTGATATCCACTACGAGTAGTGGCCGACCGGAGATCCACGGACCGACCGCTCCGCGCTCCACGCCTCGAAACGCTCCGCGCGATCCGGTCGACCGTGAAAAGCGCCTCATCGGACTCTTCGGCCGCCGCGTCCTCGTGCACGGCTTCTGCGCGTGGCTCGTCTTGATCGCGCTGCAGGGCCTGCCGAGTGCTGCAAACGCCGAGGCAAACTTGACAGTGACCAAACATGGAGAAGCAAGCAAAACCGGTGAGTCACTTTCAGGTTGCTCTCTTTCACTTGGCCTAAGCTGATCTCCGCTTCGAGGGATCCAGATCCATGGACCTGGACTTCCTCCCACTGGGAAGACCCACATGTTCGGTCGAAACAAAAGACAACTCCACGATTAATATAGGCAACAAAAACAGGTGCCAAACTTAGGGCCCCTTCTAGTTATCTAGTTCTTGACCCAGTTGTTGTTTCATCGATGAGATGGAGTCCAACGCACATAAAACGAAGACTGGAACGTGGATAGACATACCTTCTGACCCTCTGAGGAGATCTTTGGAGATGTTTCAGGTCTGGATCGTTCTAAGTTCCAACTACCTAGTTCCAAATATATAGCTATCTTCTAGCAAGGCTGGGAGGGGATCCACATGATCCACTATACAAGCCATGCTTTGTCTCTGTCACCGCTTTTGCCGCAGGTGGCAGCGCTGCCCGTATCCAAACACCATGAAACCAAGAACAGGCTGCCCGCCTGCACTTCAAAGCTATCGATATCTTCACTGTCCTCACCCATATGGCCACTACCTGCACTCGCGCCAGCGGAACTTGGGGGATCATTTGAAAGGATGGAGCTGGGTTTCAAGAACCATGTATGTTGAACTTTTCAATATGGTTGACACAATTCTGAAACAAACGATGGTCCAGACGACCTGCTTTCTGTGAAATCGATTCAAGCATCTCTTCCGTTCCCAAAAGCCCTCTCCACCAAGAATCAACGACTCCAGGGCAAAGAAAGAAGGCAAACAAATAGACATGGTTCTACCCTGAGATTCTCTTTGGCTTCGGCTAGCCGGCTAGCCGAAAAGGTCCAGCGCGGTGCGGGAATCCCTCCGAGAGGATGGCCCCTACTCCCCCGAAACCAGGTCTATGTCTGACAGGAACCGGTCCAGTGCCCCGTGACCAACGGCCCTTTGTGCTCAACCCATTTGGGGAATTTCTCGGGAATGTTCTGACTGAACCCTAAGCCCAAAACCCTAAACGAATTCTGAATGCGGAAGGACACTTCAGCGACCAAACCACGGAGCTAGCTGTTTCTCCGCTGATTCTTGGATTGTTCCACGATTTTCCACGGTCCTGCAGTGTTGATGCGGGCTTTCGGGTCGTTGTCCGGTCATCACCGGTGGAGGACACGGCCACGTCGCCCTCGTTCGGTGGGACCCGGTCTCGCGCGGTCGTCCAGGGCACAGAGGATCGCCGGCATGGGCTTCATCACCCTCCCTCGTGAGAGCGCGTGCTGCTTCTGCTGCCGCAACACCCGGGCCCTCGGTGGAGGCGTAGGTGGGGGGGGGGGTGTAGGTGGACGAGGTACGAAACATGAAGAGGTGAAAAGGGGAAGACTTCTACCGAAAACCTCAAGATGGCCGATTGAAGAACTAAACAAATCCTACAGTGGACCAGGACAGCAGTTGCAGGAACCCAGCAACCATCTATTTGGGGGAGGCATCTGGCCACTGTGCCAGCTGGAGAGATTCAATGCTGGTGTCTAAAAGAAAAGGGATGGTATCACTGGTGGATACCGATGATCACATCCATGGATCATACATCTTCATGTGTGCCCCCCTTGGCCATATCTTTCAGCCCAAGGAAAGCAGCCCCCGTTCACAGGTTAAAGCAAAATACATCGGAAACAAAAACGTGAAACACCTGCATCGTCCAAATCCGGCCAGCTTATTTTACACTCCCTGGAACTAACAAACTAATATATGGAAATGGAGCTCACCCTCTGTTTGATATTCGGAAAAGGGTCTTCCTTTCAGGGCCATGCCATCATTTGCCATCCACTTCCATGTTAGTTCCAGAGAGTGTAAGGAGAACACCAATCAAACATCTACAAAGTCCAGATCGTACAGACCAAACTGGGATCGATCGTGAAAGAAACGATCTTGGCTGGATCCCAACAGTTGTTTCAGTCAATAGCCTCCCAGCCTTTCGGCTTTTTCCACGACGATATCATAGGATCCTGATCCAAGATTCTGAATATAGTTCAGCCTCTCCATGTGCGTCTTGAGTTGCTGCTGTGCTTCGACTTGGCTTGGCCGACTCTGAGCATACAAGCCTGCGGTGAGGGAGGACCGGGGTCACAAACGGCAGCATTTCGTTGGATCTGACCGTAGCGATCGCTGATGATCAATCCTGCCTGTGGGTCACAGTCTGGGGGGTCTCGAAATAAAACTGCGGAGAATGAGCAAGTCACTCTTACATGCGAAAGAAAGGGGCCACCCTGTATATTAGGTCTTTGTGCATATCTTTCATTCATGTCCACTGGGATGGATGTACGTCCTTTCTTGTCGCAAGAAGACGGATCTTCAGCTGCTTTCTCTCCATGGGCGGAATGCGTGCAAAGGCTCCTGGGTGATAATCCAAGCTCCTCTCTCTGTTTGACAAGCCCGGCTACAGTAGGATCAAACAAGCCGGTTCAGAACAACATGACACGGCGTTCAGACTGGGTAAAACCAGTATGAAACTTGACCTGGCTGGGCACAACATGAGATGTCATCAAGATCCTGCAATTCAATAGAAGTTGTACATAAAGATTTTTTAAGCAATTTTAAAAGCCTTTGAACACTCCTGAAGAGAAAACAACCCATCTTCCTCTGGTGTTATATATGTGGCCTGAAACAATGAATAACAGTGGCATGGTTCTGGCAAAGTTCTGCGTAATTGATTGTCCAGCTGAACCCAATGCAAAACACATAGTCAAAGCAGCGTTTTACGAAGAAACTGGACCAGGTGTGAACCTCTCTTCGCCGATAAATTACAACATTAATTCAATGACCGGTGGTGTAACCTTTGACCTGCGGCGTGCGAAGAGCAAACGCCAGAGTTGGAGTCATAGCTTGTCAAACGCCTGATGGTAAAGGATCAACCCCTGAACAGAACGTATCTAATAGAAGATTCAAAACGCCGGAAAGCCAACAGGGAAGGCATCTCTATATCCCTGCATCTTCCATCTCAAGCGAGAGGCTGCACATCTGCAAGATGCTAGAGACATGAGCCATCGCGGTGATCTGATGTGGCAGCAAATCTAGACCTCGAGGGCTGCGAAGTGGCGATCACGCAGTCCCCGGGAGAACGGGATGGATGCGATCGTACCGGAGGAGATGGAGGGTCATTCGATGTCATGAACCCTCAGTGGACATGACGAGAGATAACCCGCTTGAAAACCGGCCAAGAGGACTGATATGTGTTGAGAATAGGGATGCTGGATCCCCCAAGCAATGGGCCATTATATGGCGGCTTACTTTTCTTCTCAAATGGCAAATGGTTGTCAAATTTCTTCTTTGAACAGAAGGGTGACATTTCTCATTGCAGATAAATGACTTGGACTTGCTTATGGAACTTGGAAAAAAAGAAAAGACCCTGACAAATGCCCCTTTCCCACGTATTACGGACATTACGCAGACCAGGTTGACATACACCCTGCTCCCACATTTTCACAAATGCCATCTAAATGCCCCGATTCCTTGGTCTTTGTTGAAAGACATCACCGTGATGTTTCATCACGTGCACCGTAATCCGCTTCACCAGGTGACAGGTGAGCGCTTCTCATTTCACCAAGATTTTGGTCCTCCCTACTTGTTGGTGGCTTCCAGATCAATGGATACATAGTCGAGCTTCATAAAGATACACTTCCTGAAATGATCATCGAAGTGGAAAGCCACTTGTTGGCGCAACATGATCATTCTGATCATTCACGGGGGCCATGTTCCACGTAACCATGATCAATTCAGGGAGTGATAAACATGAGAAACAACGGGGAAATCCCGAGTGTAAAGAGTCAGAATTTGCCAGAGCTGCCCTCCTAACGCAGGGATCGGCTGAAGAGCTTCGGCACAACATGAGGGCATTTTTCCCGGCCGCGAGGTGTTGCAGACCGACCAAGAAGAAGAAGAATAGAAAAGAAGAAGAAGAAGAACAACAACAAACTGCCAACAACTGCAAACACCTGATGGGATTGACCGTACTGCGAGAAACACCGCTGGCCCCTGTGGTGCCTTGCTTCTACCACGAGATGACACAAGCACCTTCCAAGGAGAACGCAAGTCACCTAAAGATATGTGGACAAAAACACAAACACACCTTCCGATTATATAAGTCCTCCTTTTCTGCAAAGCTAAACATGTGCGTTTTCTCATTTACTTTCGATCAGCCTTCGGACAAACATCCAAAAAAACGGTCGAACCATCTGACAAAAACCTCGGCAACTCGCGATCCCTTCGGTGAAGTCCCCCAAGGCACCCGGTCGCAGCCGGTGGCAGGCGAGATGCTTGCGACGTGACTCTGCGTTGGTCTTCAGTCTCATGCTTTCTGTGACACCGAAAACTAACGCCCCAACACGGAGAATGTGTGAAGTCTAAGTGTAGTACATCAAGTATTTCGTACCCTTGCACAGGCACACACCAAAATCAATACAAGGTGTCTGTCGCAATTTGTAGGCTTTGGTGCGCGAAACCTTTCTGAGACACAGCACCAAATCCAAAACGGCCTGACGTCAACCAGCGACACGTGCCACTGCTCGCTGAACAAAAAACACACCAAATCAACTCCAAAAGACCCCCTAGGATCGACCATAGAAGGACAGTAGACTCGACCAAACCCCGCCACGCAGGTCCCCTGGATTTAAAATACACACCCATGTTATAAGTTTTTTGAGGGAACCATGCCTACGCTGATGCGGGAGCTCCAGCTACATGCCTACCCAGTTCCCGCCTTGTGAAAATGAAGTTATGTATCATCATCATGTAGGAGTTTGGATCTTGGTTCTCCAAATTATCGACCTACTGTTTCCCAATGTTCTTGATGCAATCCAGCCCAGCAACTGGTGTTGAACTGATACTCCAAAGATTGATCTAACCAGCATGGAACCACACCATCCAAACGACTTTAGCCACTAGACCAAACAACTTGGCAGAACGACACATAGTCTTTGGCAAGAAAGCAGCCTCCCAAGGCCAAAGCTGAAGCAAAGGAAAACAGTATGACAAAGGATTCACCGTATACAACATGATCTAGACTGAACACGATCTAAATACGTTCTCTAAGCATTGTCCCATTCCCGTGCTTGTCTAAAAACACCTGTTTCCTCGGCCCAGTTTACAATGCCCCACCGAACTCTGAGGTTTGGAGCCTAGGCACTAAGGGCAATGGTGGAGGCGGCTCCACCAGCCACGATGTGGATGGTGAGATCCATGGCACCTCGGAGGTGGACTACACGGTCGAAAACTTAAATGGACCCTGAAAATGGCACCCTGAAAATGTGTTTTCCTCTACAAACGAGTGTTTTTAAGGGGTCCGTCCATCTTAATCTTCAAGTGGACTAGTTGATAGCTGGTGTGACTCGAAACGTGGTGAAACCGAGGACGGTGCCAAACGTGAACCATTGAAACACATCATTCACCTCTCCGTTTCAACTCTTCATTCCTCCAGTTGAACTTTCAACGTGTTTCAACCAAAAACACACCGTCAATCTCTGGCCGTCTTCAGTTCCATTGTTATTCGAGGGCCGTCTTTTGTTTGCGGACCGAGCTGTTCATTATTCCCAGGTGACTGGTGGCAGCTACGAAGTTTCAACCACCCCAAAACCGTTGTGCATTTCCAACGCCATTGGTGATGGGCAAACATGTCTGACATGTACAGTGCAATTGCGTCCGGCTCCAGAAGCTTGATCTACCTTCCAGTGACACATCTTCCAGTGAGTTCACATGAAATGTGTATGTTTACATGTCGTATGTCAGCATTTCACCCCTTTTCAGCCATCTCAAGCTAGTAGTCCATCATGACATTGTCTTCGTCTAGCTGTTTTTTGTTATTCATAGGTCTTCAGGTCGAATGATACTTTTCCAAATTGACATAAGACCTAGGGCCAAATTTGAGCTTTTGGGGTCCTGCAAAGCTGAAATCTGGCGTCCTGAGAAAATCTTTGTTTGAGTACGTTTGGTGGGCCCACTGCTCAGGGCTTATGCAACCATTAAGAAGTTGCTCAGGCTGCGGGACAGGACAGCAATTCAACCAATTTAAGTCAAAGGAGAAATTGTGAAAATAATCGCAAATCTTAATTCAGAAACTTGGGTCGAATTTACAGTGACGTCGAGCGACGTCCTTTTAATTCAGGCAGATTCATACGACATGTTTGGTCTTGATCAGTCAGCTGGACCTTGCTTCCTTCGTTCATATCCTCTCCTCGACTCGGGTTCCCTTCGGCACGGACCGACTGCACAGGTCGAGCGCATAGATCGGACCTGAAACTCACGCTATGGGGGATGCAGCATTCTGTCTGGCATCTATTCTGGCAAGTATTCTGACATTCTTCCCAGTCTTCCCTGGCACTCTATTGGCAATCTATTTGGACATCCTTCCTGGCATTCTATCCGGTATTCTCTCTGGCATTCTGCCTGGTGCAGCCCCACACTTGCCACTGGTTCGAGTGGCCTTGCGTGCTACGGGTAAAGCCCGCAGAAAATTGGCGTCTCATCTCTGGTCGACGACGTCCTGGACAAAGAGGATGTTTTCATGTACCTTGTGCACTTGGTGCAGGAAGCACTTCACCAACAAACCTTGCCACACGTAGGTGAGAAAAGCTTCTCGGTGCGTCAAAACGCAAGTGGTCGGCTCTAGCCTACTCTGGCATTCTATCTCGATCCGGCATCTCAAATTTAAACGGCCGCATCTCAAGCTGTAGACCGCTGGCAGCATGTTTGAGAACATGCACGTTGACTAAGGGCTCGTAGAATGCTGGTTTGCTTCGGGCACGGAGCCCACATTGCCTCTGCACCGTGTATCCGCAGTTCAAGCCAGATTGAATGTTGCTTCTTGAAGCTACAAGCTCGCCTTGGGCGGTATAAAAAGAGTGCTGGATCACTGAAGGCCAGCAAAGACATTGCTTCTGCCAAGCCCTGATCAACCTACCTGACCTTCAATTGTACATTAAGTGACCGTCCACCACCGCCTTCCATGACATAGAGCCTTCCTGGACCCACTTGTTCACTTTGCCATGCCAAAAAACCCTTTAAATCAGGCACTGGCGCGGATCCCCCACCAACCATGATCCCAGGCTTTGCACTGACGATCACAGTCTTTGTCCATACTTCACAGTCTATGCAAATCCCAAGATGTTCCACGTTGAGTTGAAACAGCGAACGGAGCAAACGAAGCCACAACACACACACAAATGGAGTCTGGCGACCTAACAAAACATGTCATATCCAGAAATCTCAGCACATCTTAACACGCCCTCACAAAAATACTCAAACATATCAGCTCCTCTATGAGTTTTGGGAGTTCAGTTCCTTTCAGATATTTCATTGAGATCAATCTATCAGCTAGCGATCGGCCGTCTGGTTCCGGCCATGTGGCTCCGCCTCTTTGGCCACTAGCTGAACATCTTTCTGAATCTTGAGCCACGACAGCCACCGGTCAACTCTAAGGCTTTCCATGTGTTCAGGCGCCTGTGAGGGACCGAGGGACACGGGTGAGATCCTCGAGCGTTTAGATAGACTCATATGGACTCATGGTTCTTGATCTATCTGCTTCTTAGCAAAATTCGGGCAGAAGAAAAGCAGGGCCCAGTCTTGTCGCCAGGAACTTCTGGGAGCTGAACAAGGCTACGCCGAAGCAAAACACCTCAGCAACATATCTACAGGAGCTATCTCGGAGCTATCTCGGAAGAAGCTGTCATCTGCAGAAGTGTGTCCTTCGATCAAGTCAAACTGATCAGTTTGGAGGATTGAATGGATATCCAAATTGTCCAGGGCCAACACCATTCACAGGAGGCACTTTGGCCCTTGTTTGACTACGTTTGACTTGCTTTTCCATCCCAGTGACTCAACCCAACCCTCACAACAAGAACACTTCATTGAACCAACACGCTTAACATGCTTCCGATCCATCTCCGAGCACTTGGTCCGCCAATGGCCGCCCTTTTCGACTCTTTCGGAACCGGCCCGGGTCGTTCCACAAGAACGCCGCCCGGAAACCGTCCCGCAGCGGAAACGTTTCGACGGAATGGTTCAGTTTACATAATGGTTCGCTGGTTCTCCGATGATGTGATTTGCGGCCAAAAAGAGTGTTCTCCTATAACCTAGGAGGCGAAATTCTCCAATGGCCAGTCCATGGTTCTGCCGACTAAGTATCTAGTGTTCAACAAATATGTTTGGGGAAACAAACCAACAAGCGCATGCCAGTTCAAAGAAAACATAAACGCGTTTGCCAGTTCAAGAGGAGGGTTCAATCTCTCTCTCTCTCTCTCTCTCTAGATGTTGGACAGCAAACCTCCGCCCATGTCCATCTGCCCTCCCGTGCCGCCCGTCTACCTGAGATGCTTGGGAACTCGTAGTGGTTCAGCTCGTAGGACTGGGGCGCGCACAGGTGGTGAGCTGCACAGACCGAGGGCCAGGCCCAGTGTATTCCCAGCTGTTTCGGGCAAATGCGAGAGGCTATTATCTGAATGATCCGTGGTTATTGCAGCATGCTGGATGTGTATTTTGATACATTATGTTTTAGTTTTCTACATGTTGAGAGTGGGATTTGATTATGCTTCTGGTTTGCTTGTCCGATGAACATCCAGAGAAGAATAATTACTGTAGGCACAGGTAGTGAGCAAAACCACCGCAAATTGATTGTGGCTTTTTTAAGCCACTAACACCTCAAGTAGAACCCTTAATGATCCTTAATCTGATTCTCTGTTCACATAGATTATATGGGTCGATGCAAACAAATAATCTCATTCTCAGCAATCGAGTTTGACAAGATCCCAACATAATCCAATATACATCCAAGTCGCTCAAACTATTTCACTTCTAATTGAAAAGAACACAAAAAATGATCAATGATTCTCAACCCTTAAGACAATCTCAGCCTGAGAGACCGAGTGTTGCTCTTCAGGTGGACCATTCACAACCCTTGAGCCTTGAGCTGGTTCACCTGCGCTTCTCCTTCCTGTCTTGACTTATCTCTCCGGTCTCGCGACGCGACCGTCGCAAACGTCTGGGCCACCCCCGGCACGCTGCTGGGTGGGGTACGGGACCTGCGCGTTTTCGCAGAGCGCGGGAGATTTGGCCAAAGATCGCCTATGGACTACTATTAACAAAACACCATGTGTTTTTTTTGGGTGTCTTAACCTACTCATACTCTGAGAGTCTGACACTTGCGAATCGAATCGCGCGACAGTTGTAGAAGAGCAATTAGTGATTAACACTAGCCAATCCATGGCTCTACTGTGTTCACTCCCGCAGTGTCCAATAATTTATTTCGACGCTGGGCTCAACTCCTCCATACTGAAACCAACACCTCGTTCATTCGTCTGAAGGAGGGTGATTATAGACCAAAGGCTCATGGCTTGACCCAAGTCTGACTTTATTGAACACATTTCCGGAATGCATCTGAGTGTGTTTGGTGCACAACAGTAGCATCTGCATCGCTGAGATCGTCACAGTGATTCATTCGCTTCAGGTCGTGCTGGGTGTGTTACACTCCGCCCCTGTGCTGTTTTCTCTGCGCGAAGGATCCCTTTTGCCTTTGAAACGCCAAGCAATCAAGTCATCGACGGCAGAGCGGATCGCCGAATGGGGCTGACTCGTTTCGCTAAGGTTGCATCGACCTGACGCTCAGGCTTTTTTGCAACCTGCCAGGGTAGATCGACACACATCCATCAGTCTTATCCATTTTCCACTGTGCCGCCTTTCGGGATCAAAAAGACATCAAAGAACATGGCACGACACCTATTTGTCCGACCATTCTATTGTGGTTAATTACATTTTGAAGACCTGAAGACCCAACTTGGCCCCGGCAAAGCGCCCCAATCGGAGGCCAACGGACCGCTACCAGGTGTGGAACCCGAGCCGCGAGGACACAGCCAAGTTGGTATATTATTGTTGTGAAGCAAACATTGGATTCTTGACATTCTTGAGCTCACTTGAATTCACTGCGGGTTCTCATCTTCAGTTCTGCACATCGAAGATGTGCTTTAGGTGGAGTGACTCCTCCAACATGCGGCAACCGCTTCTTGCGGGGCCAAAAAGGACATGATACCTCATCATATTCAGCCGATCCCATCGTGTCGAACACGTGAAAACGTGTCACACTGTTCAGGTGCGCACATGAGGTCGTCCCAAAGTTCGGTGCCGTTCCTGCAGGCATGGTTTTAGAACGGAAGCCCTGTGAGACCCCGGATGAGAAGCTTCAGAACTAGAGTCCATCCTGGACTGGATCAGACATCCACAGCCCTCAGGATGTTCTTAGACAAATCCTGCCGCAGCTTCCCAAAGGTTACATTCTAAAGGAAAATGACCCTTGGCCAAAAAAGACTTCTTCGGCAAACATTGGGGTTGTCCACTTCGATGTGTTCATTCTGGTCTAGCCCTTTCTTGACCATTTCATGCTCAGGATGGACATCGATCTCCCCAAAACGGTGAACACATCGGGTGGTCGTTGCAACAAACTTCTCGACTGAAGCGACCCTGAGAAACGCGCCGCTATGGTAAGTTTTGGTCAGGTCGAGTAAAGTTTCACATCGAGTACTGAGAGGAGTCTGGGTCGCTGGGATGTGTGCGTTGGGATGAAACGGCCGAACGAAATGGTGGCCATGTCATCCTGTGCTGTAGTTCACTCCCCAAATGCTTGCAATCCAAACTGATATAGAAACGTCAAAAGGGTCCAATACTCGATTCAAAGAACCAAAGGAGCGATTGGGGTCCGACCGATCATGGTCGAACATGACCTCATGAAGACATGTGTATACCCCCAAGATGAACAAACCCACACACGCCATATCGCTCCATGTATGGCATATTTACCATACGAGCTAAAAAGGACATTACATCCATTTACATCCTATGTAGGAATACAGTATAGGTATGGAGTCTTTGGATGTCTTTGGGACATACAGAAAAAAATAAACAGTCTCGATCATCATCCTGATCAGGCTGAGTTGGAGGTGATTGGACTCAAATGCGCCATCCACATCCACCACCGATGGCGCAGATGCGGCGAGGAGAGCTAGTCTCGAGACCCTTTTTGACACCCCAAGGGGTGGTGTTTGGAGAAACACAGGTGGTTGATGGACACCCCTTTTTGGACACACCAATTGCTCTCAGGGTCTCCTGGTTTCTTGCTCCCTACACAGCGGAGCGAGAAACCAGCATACACATGCGGATCGACAAAAATAGGGTCCAAACAGATCGACTCATGGCTTCTCGTGTTTCGACTCATGTGTCCAGATGGGTCATCTGACGGGTCATCGGACGGGTCGATCTCATCTGCCGATCATCCGGGGTCGCAAACAGAAAAGACCTACACCCAGTCGGTGGTCTGGGCAGCATTGCTTGGACTGGGAAGTTGTCTGCAGTTTGGACTGGGGTCACAAAAAAGCAACGAACCATTTCTTCCTAACTGGCTCAGCTAACTTGAGGGTCTTAGCCCGCTAGCTACCAAGCAACGAACAACCGCATCTAGAAAACAACTTGCTCAATATCCAAGGCGTCTTTGCACAGTTGGAAAGGACGTTGGGAAGGACCAATGTCACTCTCTGACTTCCCCCTCCCGGTTTCCTGAGGTCTGGGTAAGTCAGGTAAGTCAGGAAACCACCTAAGGCAAGGCGTCTAGCAAATCCTGCACCACATCATTCTACGTCCAACCCTACTACCCAATTCACTTGATGTAGCCACCGGTGGACGGCTGCCACTTGATCTCGCACCAGCGTCCCCGTCCCGCCGCAGCCGAGTGAACTCACTTCTTCGCATCAGACTGCACTAGGCCTCCGGATTCGCAGATGAGAGAGTCCAAGCCCGTTCCCCCAAAGGTCCTGAGGGGATCTGTGCACAGGATCTCAGTCGGCCCATCACCAAGTCCACCAAAACCCGCCACGCCACGCATCGGTCGGGTGCTGGGCGGGCTGAGTGACCCTCCATGTTGGATACAACGACAGAAAGAGGGTCCCTTCCGAGCAAAACAGGGGTCCAATGGCTTCTAGGAATATGAACATAGACTCTAACATAGAAGGACACTCAAAATACAGGCAAAGGAACAAGGGCGCTTAAACGGTGTAAGACCAGGAGAAGACTCTCCTCTACAAAGGGGTAGCGATTCTCTGAGGGAGGGTTCAGATACTATAGACCCTGGAAAACAAGACCTGGAGATCTTCGCAGGATCATGTTCCATGTTCGAAGACTTTCGAGGTACTTTGGAGACTTAGGACTTGTACTTGGCCATTGGGCACACACATTTTACTCAAACGAAATCAGGCAACCCCTCCAGATTGACATCTTGAATACTTGGTTCACTATGGTTCACTCAGGAAAACTCAAGTCCATACCTTCTCAATCCATCTCAATTCCTTTACATAATAGATCAACCATGATCAACCCACCAAGATTCGGGTCTGGGGTGTTCCTCCACACCAAGTCACCATGATGCCCCTCCCCAATCCGCCTGCGGTTGTAGCGACTACGAGAGAAGTAGAAAATGGAGGCGATTGCCAAAATCCTCAGCCGATTGATGCTAAGGGTGGTTTCAACCACCTAGAAATAGGTGTTACTGACTGCACCGACGAAGAAATCACCTGGTGAGGAGAACGGTTTGACCCAGACTCTTTCATATACTGGCAGGCGCAACTAAACCCCAAACACTCCATGGGACTGCCATATTATTTGCGTAGGCATATACTATATATTCCAGTCCCAGTTTGAGTGTCTGAGGTTCCTAGTTCATGTCGATTCACTACAGTGCGAAAATAGCGCTGCCAAATGGGTGCATCTCTTGGGTGCATCTCTGGGTCTGGAGTAGAATGTTCTGGCGATTGCCAAGACATGTCGTGAACCCAGATCTCATCGACCTCAAGCGGGCCCAAATCTTGGCTATGCATCCTCTGATGATATGACAACTGGCATCGGGCATGTTGCAGTAGGATGAGCCTACAGCGTGGTCACTGCATTCCTTGAAGTCCAGCAACGGCACACGTCAGGTGAGCGCTCGCCGACTGCTGCAGCGAGAGGAGCGCCGTTTGCCGACGACTAAGTCGACCGAACACTTCCCAGAATCCGCCTCTGACATCGTCATCCATCGACATGGTGAAGCAGCGAAGCAGCTGTCGCAGGACGGGCCTTCCTCGCCAACTCCTCGCTGTTGCACTGCCAACTTGCAATCGTGGCCTTCCGAAGCTGTTTCTGAACTACCTGACATTGATGTTCTTCTTCGCTGCCGGAAGTTCTTTTTGCAAAACAGACCTCTGGCATGCCCCATAGTAGCCAATGCCAAGGCCACCAGTTTTCATGATATCCCATACTTTCGATCGCTTCTGATCAATGACACCATGATTCCCCGTAGTGTAATTATTACACCGCCGGTTGGGAGACGTCCCACGACGGACGTTACAAACTGGACGGAACACTTGGCAAGTACATTGGAAGACACGAACTGTTACAACGTGTCATAAGTACTGTGAACATGTTGTTGGGGGCTTGCCATGTCTTGCATGCATGCCTGCCGGGCTTGTGGCAGTTTGCTTGTTTTGTCTTGTTGTTTCCTGAAAGTCCTTTCTTTCGTCAGGACATGACCAAAAAGTGGAAAGCGTGAGAGTTTGTCTGTCCAAACCTATTATTTGGGCATATATGATGTGCACATGTTGCTTTGGAACATCTACAAATGGGTTGATGATCATCACTCAAGGATTTCAAATCGTTTCCCAAATCTACTCACCCTCAAATTCAGTGGTTGGCCCCTACTCACCACTCTTGCCAGGATTGTCTATATGACTTCTTCATTCCCATCCCAAATCTGAAATTTGGCACTTCCCTTGACGGCCCAGTCTCGCCATGAGCCCGGTCAGGAGGTAAAGCCTTGGCGGCGAGGCAGGCGGTAGACGAGGCGGGGATCGGCTGAGCACCTGAGCTGCTGACCTCCCGTGCAAATACCACTAATAGCACTGGAGGTTCAGAAAATGGAAAACCACTATATACTCAATGAGACTAAAGGACCAGGATATTATTGGGTCAGACTGATGTAGGGATGTGCAGGGCCTTAGAGACTTGATCAAATGGCTGCAATTCCAAAACGTACCAAAACCCCCAAGTCCCCCCCCGAAAAAACACACCTTCGCGTTCCTTTTTGCACTCCCTTCCACAAAAAGCAAAGCACCTGACCTGTGCTATTATATTTAGATGTATTCGATTCTATAAGGCCGGCACCCACCCACCATCACCCGCCCACCATCACCCACCCACCATCACCCACCCACCATCACCCACCCACCATCACCCCCCCGGCTGACTTCCGAGTCCGTCTCCGGAACCACGCGCTGACTTCGACCCCGAGCGATCGGGGAGCGGCCGTCGGACGAAGCGACATCCAAACGAAGAGGTCGAGGATGATCTCGTTGTCCGTTCCGCTCAAAGGACCGAAGCCTCCGAGGTCTGACAGTTCGAAAGGAACAAACACGACAAAGCCACAAAAAGGAACACACACACATATATATATAGTTTATACATATATAGTATATATATAGTTTATATAATATATAAGCTGCTTCCAAGGGGTCACCAATGGATATCTCCACACTACTTACAGGTCTCCAGACAGGGCACCCCTTGGAAGCGCTAGGTATATAATAGTGTTCAACTTTGAGAGGGAAGTGATGAAGCGATCATCTTCACCTCAAGATTTTCCTGTGAGCTTAGCTATTGATTTGTTTAGATCGAATAGAACTTGAAGGGGACCTACCAACAGCGATCGTTTCCTATCGATCCTTCGGCCCTTTGCCACCCAGAATCCCATAGAAATCGCAGCGGGGAACCTACAAAAAGCATAGAACCTACAGCATTTTTCCTTGAGGCGAAGGTGAAAGGGAACAAACAATGTGCTGTATATAATTTATTATGTATCATCAATATATCATCAATGAACCCAAACACTCCATGTATGGAATATATTGACCCCCAAAAACCAACCCAATGTAGACCAAATAAGGCATACATCCCGTGTCTAGGTATAATAAGTCTCTCTTTCCGGCCTAGCTCTTATGACTGGGAGGGGAGGCCACTCAAAAGCACTCAAAGCATTCTAATGCAAATTCAAAGACTTTGATACATCAGGAGGCCAATGGTCACCACGTAGCCTGAAGCCACAGCGGCAAAGCCAAAGAGGTTGAACACAGTGGTGGATGTCTGAAACATGTTGAGATTCATGCCATCTTGCGCCACAGTTTCTTTCCCCGGCGCCGGTTTCTACACAACCCCCCCTGATCATTCGTGAGTGGCGGATGGTTGTTCTCACAGTTTCACGGTTCGAAAACATCCTCATACATTCACCACAGAGTAGTTTTTTGGGAGGCAGCAACTCTCATGACTCATGACTCATCAATCCAATACCCACAAGTAGTTGATCCACATTGTGACCCCCCTTAATGGTGCAGTATCCATCAATCATCATACTGCCATGGGCATTCCCTTCATCCACCAGCTGGTGTGCTTCCTCAAAACATGAAGCCATGTCATATCAAGGACCATCTAACAGGTTCCCAATGCACTTCCCACACCACTGATGGGTGTCCATTGGACATTTTGTTGGGGACCAACCAGGGAGACTGTTTGTCAAATAGCCGTGCTTTGGTGGAGAATGGTCTCAGTTCATGTCCTCCACAATCATTAGTCTGTTTGCAGGGATACCATCTTCACATCCAAGCAAACAACATCGACCCTTTGTGGGCCCCAGAAGCCTCCACATGCTGAAATTCAAGAAAACAACACCATGCAACGTCCAAATCAGGTGCCAGGTCTTTGACTTCTCCATCCAGTGACTCACTGACCCGGTCTTTGGCCTTTCGCGCCTCAATTCCGCGCCCGGCGCGGAGGGTTCTTCCGGTGGCTGACGCTGACGGTTCTTCTCGCCGAGAAGCCGAAGAAATCGGAGGCGTAGATGAGGAAGGAGCAGGTGCCTTTCCACTCGCCAGGAATTTCCAGGCGAAGGTGGCGAGGTGGTCGATGATTGGACAGGTCAATCATTTGACAGGTCCGGTCAAGTGATTCAAAAGAACCTACTCAATGAGGTAAAGGACCAAGCTTTACTGGGTCAGACTGGATCTGCAGGGCCTGTAGGGCATGGCTCTCCAATGGATTGTATTCTTACTCCTGATTAGCTTTTGTGTGTATGGGTGCTAGACAATGACCCGTTCTAGGAGTCTTTCTGCACTGAACCACCCCAGCTAACTCCTCCCGCCTCCCTTCTCCCATCCTCCCTGCACTTGCCTTCGGCGCGCGTCACCGCGAAGATGCGCTCGTTCAACGGGGCGTTCAGCACGCTGTACGCGGCGTAGAAGGCGGCCGAGTAGATCCTGCCGTCTGAGGTCGCCGAACATGCCAACCGCAGAACGAAAGAGTGACATGGACCCCAGCCCCAGACACTCCAGACACTCCATGGATGCAGCTCAAAGGAACCCGCACAAGAAACACTCACAATCTCTGGTCGGCCCCTTTAATTTATAGAACTTGGTGAAACCAGTCACGAGAAGTGCAGTAAACATCTTCGGGTTGTTCTGTGTGCAGCACATAAGCAAAGAAAAAGATGACATAGATCGGGTGACATCATATGACATCATTACCAAAACCAAACAGGACAAATAGACAATAATTTTTGATGTGTTGGTTTCCTTAGACCTTGTTGTTTATATAACTGTTCCTTTGTTCTTTGAACATGTGTTTCTTTATTTTTGTGTTCTTATTAAGACCCTTTATAGACGTCTTTATTTTTCATCGGGTGACATCATATGACCTCATGGCCATGTGACGGGCTGTCACACTCCGTTCTTGAGACCCCTTCATACGACGGAACCACCGGGAGCGCCTCAACCTGGCTCTATACATTCTCTACCAGCCCCCATTAGGGGCCAATAGACACCCCTTAACCTCTAAGGGGCTACCAATAGAATACAAATAGACACCCCAAACCGGGGAGCTCCGCATCTCCACATCTTTTAGGCTGAGATAGCGGCTCGGTCAGCCGAGTGGCAGGATCCAAGCCATGCCCGGCAGCTCATGGTGGCGGAAGAGGTAGGTGCATGCAGCCATCAGGAAGAGTCCTGACCGGCCGACGAGGCCGCCGTTCCAAGGCTGAGCGTCTCTGAGTCTGTAGATCAGAGTATTCACAATGAAATGATCGGAGTGGTTGCCTATAGGTAATGAGTGACTGCTGTTTGGCTGGTCACCGCATGCTCCGTGGATCATAAACACACAATGTATGTGTGTGAATGCTTGCAGCACTACCTCAAGATGTGACTGGTTCGAAGCCCTCTCGCCCAGTCGCCCCACTGGCAAAGGTGGTAAAGGGAAAAGGAGAAGATCTCAAAATATAGCAAGAGAATATGGGAAGATAGTTCATCATGTTGCTGCCAAGAAAACGTTTGGAAGATGGAGAAGATCGAGGCACTGGCACTTTGGCCCAATTCGAAGATCGAGGCACTGCGGGATGATTCAATGCCCAAAGACGCAAGGGTTTTCGTGTACGTTCCAAGAACCTCCAACCTTTCACCGAGTGTCCAGAGACATTGGTGAGGAGCATGAGGAACAGAGCCCGCTGGTTGTTGCTGACCCAAGACATCATGACCTCGGTATACCGTGAGACATGGGTGATGGTTGTAGGTCCACCAGATCCAGTGAGACCCAGCCACGCACCGATGTTCGAAGAAAGAAACCCTCCAACATGGCGTCCCAAGGTGCCCCCGACAAACCACGTACTTCGCCTTGCAGATCTCACCTCTTCTGGGCTTCATAAGATCATGTCCTCCAACCAATGGAGAATCTGGTGCGACCACTAAAACGATCTCCTCATGATGAACCCACCGTCTTTTTCAGACATCAGAAAGACTCAGGGGAAATTGGTGGACCATTTTGCGTTCGTTTGGTCCACATTATATCCCTGCAACAACCTTCAACTGGAAGTCCACCAAAATCCATGCCAGTCCAGGCGCCAATGAAATGAAGGACAAAATAGCGCCCGGCACGTCGGCCAAGACGTAGACCTATACACAACCGTGGGAAGCAAAGAGAAAGAGAGAGAGAGAGAGAAAGACGAGAGAGAAAGACGAGAGACGAGACCTTTGTGGCGAAGCAGGCGCTGAACAGTGAGAAGCGGTTCCTGAGATGCCGATGCCCGAGATCCCTGTTGGACTTCTGGTGGGGAAATCAATCGTCCCAGAAAGGTCTTGGACGTCATCCACTTGTACTGACAGGGTAGGCCACAAGGGGGAGTGCCGAAGAGAAGACTTACTTGCCAGGAACAGGTGGAAGGAGATCTGGGCTCCTGAGAGGGTCGAAGTTTTGGCAACATCAGCCTTAAGATTATCCTTGGGGTGGCCATATACATGTTGCATCAACTTAGAAGTTTAATACTATTTTAGATGTTTAGTACTGTATAATTATATATATAATATACTTAGAAGTTTAGTAGTTCATAGTACTTAAAAGGTCCTTAAAGCCTCTGACCTCCTCAGCGTCTCCTCAAACATTCCGCCAGCCTTCGAACTGGGCGAGTCGTCCTTTAACGCAGCTGCGAAGATCTGCTGAGTGTAGAAGTCCCGGAAGGACCGCAAACCAGCCTCGGAGCGAAAAGAGGTCTCGGTCCGAACGGAACCAGGTTTTTGAAGCTCTTTTGAACATCGAATCAGGTTTAAGAGTGATCCAATACATGTTTAGTAATTAGGGGGATCTACTTTTCTATCTATAGTTGGGGGTCTATTCTATATATGGATTGGCTGACATCTGGGATGAGGTTTTAAGGGTCACTGAGTCAAAATCGGTCAATCTTCCAGCCCCATGGATGGCGCTGGGGGCACTTTGTCCGACTCCGTCAGTCGTCGCTCTTTGGCTTGGAAGACTGCGTAGTCAGTCCGGACCGATGGAACTTCACACCACCCACCATTGGGCCACCACGCCACCCCACCCGGGCCCCATAAGAACACATGGCCCAAGGCGCCATGCAGGCCCAAATGCCAATCGTGGCCACTACGCCCAGGAGGTTCTCCCGCACAAACTCCCACTGCTTGCTGCGCAGCAGATGTTGCGGAGCGAAGATCAGGAACGAAGCCACTCTGCACCAGGTAGTGGGAATCGCATGGGGGATCAGGGGGATCTACATAGATTCCGCATGATTTGTGAGAGAGTGGGGATGGATCTGGTACGCCGTATTGGTAGGGAAGTTTGTTTTTTTGTTTCCCACTATATGTACGCCCACAGAGTTACCCTCTAAGGACTTTTAGTATACATAACTTAACTATAACAATACTCACTGATAATGACAAATGAGTAAAGAAGCGCTCAAACAAATGGCAGGCATCTCCAAAATTGGTATCCCAAGACTGAGTGGAGAGAAATGTTGAGAACATCCTCAAATATGAATGACTCAACCCGTTACAAACCCACCACCATCGAAGCATGTTGTTGCCCCCGCTTAAATGCTGCAAAGTCCAAATGCAAATTGAAGAGATTCTGTCACGGGGCCCGGGGCAAGAAGTTTATACCTGGGTCTTCCTAGCTATGTGTTTCTTCTGCCTTTCCAATGAACACTGCAGAACAAGATGATGCACCTCTGAAAGGGTCCAGGGATTAAAGTCTCGCGTCAAACTGCGGTATTGACATCAGAGCAAAGGATTGATCTCACACGATGTGAACTAAGTCGACTTTGCGGTGGGGGGCGGGTCCAACTCAAAGGCAACACAGCTGGTGGTTTCATTGGTATCATCCCAAGTACAGTATTGGCGGAACATATCATCTGAAAACATCTGAAGCCACCACCCAGATAGAATCTTGCCCCAAGCCATGCATTCATAGCAACCCTTGACACCTGATCTGTGAATCATGGGCTTGGCGAGGGAGACCTGGAGCTTCACAACTTTACACAAAAGACATGTCAGTCAGGAAACCCTTCCACCCCCAACGCCCCTTTAAGCTTCAATCCGTTCAAGGTCCAGTCCAACGTGAAACAACTTAAACAAACATATATGTTCTGTCATTTGGTTGTATCTTCCAAAACCCTCCATCACGCCCAAGAGCCGCACTACTTTCTCCCACCGTCTGGTCAAACCCGCCTGGGTGGCATCGCGGTGCGTGCCGAGCGCGCGGCCACATCGGCGCGGCTCGGGGGCGGCACGCGGGCGGTTTCCACGAGCAGGAAGGCCGCCAGGAGGAAGGAGACTGCGATACGAGGGTCGGGCAGTGAGAGGGTGGTACGAGGGTGGTGAGAGTCGGCGCAGGTTGGGGGGAGTCGGTGCAGGGATTAGGCTTGGGTGCTTGATGGGAAGAGAAGGAGTACTCTGGAAAGGAGCTCCGGTGGGCGTGTTCTGCCGAACCATGGCCGGGGCTTGGATGGCAGCCGATATTTTTTGGGGCCTTCAGCAAGTTGTTGGAGGAATATCAAGTAATAGCAATAGTGGTGGTGATGGTGCTGTTTGCTGTTTGCAAGAAGCGGGGTTGGATGGAAGTGAAGCTTGTGTTGTTGGTGCTTCATAGCAGTCGTAGACATCTGCTCTTTCAACTTGGAACTTCGTTCCGTGAGATTCGAGATCTGGAGGACCAAAACACCTCAACATCAATCTGCCAACCCAGAAATAGGCCAGATTCGATCCTCGAAAACCACCTCGAAACCTGAACATATACACATTGACCCTGAGACCAATCGATCTGCGGACAGGACATCGCCATGCGCGTCCACCCGGTCCCGCCTGAACCCAAGAGGAGTGGCATCAACCGTGGCGGGACGCCCCAGTGCAAGAGCTCCGCGGCGCACGCGCGGCTGACGGTGCCCGCGAAGACTAAGGAGGCGCTGATGGAGGCCAACAAGATCTCAGTGCTGCGACCTAGGGCGAAAGGCTGCAAAAGAAGAATGTACTTTTGATGTCAATGTTTTACCTCTGCATATAGGAAGGTTTTATGAATCAACAGCCTGCCTACAGTACCCTTGCGCAAGCTAACAGCAAACACATTTGGGGGGGTTGTACTTCAGGGACTGTAGGCCACTTTTCACCTCTTTCTGGTCAAGATGGATTTTCTTTTGGCGGGCCAAAGGGCGCAAATCTTGGCGGAAGAGATCTCAGAAACGAGCTGAGACCAGGTGTGGCGAGATGAGATCTCGTAAATTGTAAAATGACGTAAAATAATGTATATAAAATGGGATTGGCATTTCGAAGAAACAATTATAGGGCAAATACCCAATCATCTGATTTCGCCCCTTTCAAAGTTCTGGGTCTGATCCTAACATCTTTTAAACAGCCATCAAAAAAACACGGACGAGCTTAAAAACTCTGCCCCCCTCAAATAATTGTGTACACCTTGTAAACTTAATTTGTGTAAAGGTTCAAAGGGATTCCGGGGATTCACAACCTTTGCTTCCGGGGATTCACAACCTTTGCTTCTTGAACTTGGCATGGGGGAGCAGTTGCGCGACGAGATCTGACGGGCCGACAGGCCGACCGATTCACCCTCAGGTCCGCCGCCTGTAGTAGATGGGATCCGTTCGGAGATGCTTCCAGAGCCCGGAACAATATTCAATTGCCCAGAACATCTACAAGTTTGAGGATGTTCAGTGGACAATATCACCAATTATTATGGGAAAGTCGTCGGACATACACTCCCTGAAATAATAATGCAGTGGAGTTCACCACCTTTTTTCATATTTGGAAGAGGGTCTTTCCAGGGGCCAGGCCATCCACTTATGATTTCAGGCAGTGTATATAATCCAAAATTATTCAAAGCTTGGAAGGGCTCCAATCTACTTCTGAAGGAATTGTCCTGAATGGACTTCCAGATCTTCCTCCCCGAGTCATCTTGCAGAAGCGCCCTGAAAAACCATGAACAAATACATAAAACAACATGATGATCCAAATGAATATGTAGAGAATTATCCAGACATTGTACAATCAAACATCTAGCTCTGACACACTGCTACATGCTTTCTACACTTGGATCCTCCGCTCCTCGCATGTACTCTCTCTCCCAAGGGGCGGCCCTCGAGGTAGGTGACGATCCCACCATAAAGGAAGCTGGAGACAAAGGAAGAGCCAAAAATGCAAAGGACTTGCCTCATTTCGATTTCGAGCACGCGAAGGAACAGATTGATCACACTTTGTAATAGTCTTTAACTTTGGAGAGTTTTTGCCCACTTGAGGGGATCAATTGCATGGGACTGGTGCAAGACTATGGACGCATCCTCCTGACCGGGCGGTCCATGGAAATTGACAGCGGAAGAGGAGTGACCTGGGACGGCACCAACTCCTTCAGCACGAGTTGGGCAGTTGGTCAAGAAGCTTAGTCGAGCATGAGTGTCGACCAGCCACGTGCTCGGCCTGGGGTTTGGTTCCAATCCCAGCATCGAAACAGTCCTCACGGAACCGTGGCTATTGTGAGGGACCAACCCAGTTCGAGGATGATTGAGAGGCTATCTCAACAAAGCCCTCCAAATGGCACATAAGTCTCTCATGCTTGCCATTTCTGCGGTATAGGAGAGTGATCTAGAACTCTACTATAGTCCCTTGTGCTTGCTGAGCACTCCCTCTTGGAACCATGGTTGACTCTCAAACAAGGAAGACAGAAACCCCCACTCCAAAACCCCACATGGAAGTGGAAACGCATTTTCATGCATTTTCTACGCAAAGGATGGGCCGGTTGGTTTGCACTTCCATGGCAGATAGTCAGATGCCAACACAAACCATCTCCCATCAGCCCCAGTAGCAGGATGGGAATTGGCAGGAGTCCGGCCAGAGCTGCCAAAGCCATCGAGAGGAAAAGCATCATGAGCCTTTCTCGTGGCGTCGGTGTGCGATTCATAGGAAAGAAGAGCCCTAGACTCAAGTACGAATACCATGCAGCACCTGCACTGATGCTTTACCATCCTGAAGAGTGTGTCGAAAATCCTGGGCTGGAACAAGAGATGAGGATGCACACAATGCATAAATGGCACCCTGACATCAAGCAGCCCCCAACTGATCCGAATCTGCCAATCCGAGGGGTCGTGTCTGGTTCGGTCTTCCTCGTGAGGTGGATCAAGAATCATTTCCCTTTGGGGGGGCTCCTGGCCCGGAAGGTGCTTGGAACAGACCTGCCCCCCTGGCACCTACCCCAACCCCCTTCGAAACGGAGGTAGGCCAGGAGCCGGAAGTTGGTGGATCTGGTGTAAGCTCCCTGCCGAGTCCCGTCACATGGATGTCAAAAAATGTAAAAACCGGGGTTGAACTCAGAAAATGGACGGCTTGTAACGGTGAGGTTTTGACTCACATGCCTGAAACCAGAACACATCTGGGGTCTGAAGAAAGCTCGACCAGGACGGATGAACCGGCCACCATCAAATCAAAATGATTGATCAATGTGGTTCTGCCACCTCTGCTGTTGTTCCTTCACAGATTTCACTCGATGCACGGGTCAGCCTGGGTCAGCGAAGTGTGAGCCGGCTGAATTGTTTGCTAATCCCAACCCAGAAATTGGGCAGCGCAATTTTTCAGGAGATCTAGAATCTAGGCCCAAGTAAATCCCACCTTGGAGTTGTATGTTTGCTGCCGAAATGGGTGATTTTCACCCCAAATTCCACGTCCAGCCGTGCCCACTTGAGACCGACTTCTCCCCAGCATGTGATCCCAGTGGCAGAATCCCCAGGCGATACCTGAGAAAGACAAGAACCACGTGGTGACAAGAACCACGTGGTCTGCGGCAAACGAGTGAATGGCGGGGAGGGGTGTCCCTATGCTTGGCATACCCAGACACTCCGTGGAAGATCTACAGATCGAGTCCTTTTGAGACACCACAAACCAACAAATCCCAAACAACATCACATTCTTGCGGCCATCTGCTGCTCAGGCAGCGCTCCGTCTTTCCCTTTCGCCACCGAGTGCTGTTTTCTTAAAGAAAGACCCCACATGAGCAGCGGACAACATTACTTGTGTAGCCAAGTACTATTTGACATGATTATATAACATTATATATAGATATCGGATTTGGTGGGGTCCATATCGTTCTCCAATGTTTCTGCAAACCGTAGTTAGCATAGCATACCGTCACATAGACTAAAACACAAAATATAACTCACAACCTCAAATTAGAGGCTTACAGTGCTTTCTGCACAGGAATGGCACAGCACTTGATTTATGCCCTTGGGTTCTTGTGGCACTGGGCTGTGCAAGGATCACAACACATAAGCGGGGACATAGTAGCTCGGCCCATGAACAAACACTAGTATATAATGTGGAGAAGTAGGTCGACGGTCTACGGAGTGCCTGGCGTGACATGTAGGTTATCGTTTGTTTATCGTTTGGATTATCGTTTGGGAAGTTGTCCGGGATTATCATTGATGAACAGTTGTGCTCATCGGTTTAGCTCAAATATGCTCAAATAAACATGCAAATGCAATAACATATATATATTGTAACCACAAACGTCTTTGTACCCACTACATCTTAACAAGATTATCTTTTTTGGTGGGGACCACATCGTTTTCCACAGAAACAAAGCCCTCACCATAGGTTTAGGGTCATGCTGTGACTAAATATATAAGTCAACCAACAATTTTGTCCGTCGCTCACATGGAAAGCCTCCCACCAAGCTTGCTCAGCTGCGCAAGCAGCCAACCCGCCACGGCCCCTCACGTTCCAAGACAGACCGGCCCAAAAATGCGAGCCAAACAGAAGCTAAACAGGCAACCTGACAGTCTGGACGCCTCCCAAATCGACCCACAAACCACCACGAAACAATGATCTTTGGACCACAAGTGCCTTTTTTCCAACACAAACCGCGTGAACAAAAAACACAGAGGTGAACAGCCATGGCGCCGGAAGAAGAAGTTGCTGGTCTGCAAACGCATGGCAGGCAATTTCGCAGCACCAAATCCCAAGACAAAGGCCATGCTAATGCCTGGTGGTGGCGATGGTGGTGGTGGTGGTGGTGGCGGTCTTAAATATGTCTTGAGATGCGCACTTGGAGTAATCAGCACTGATGTCACTTGGAGAAACGCGCGACGTTTGACACTACTTGACAATCACCGGTAGGCAACCCTGCTTACCTATGGCATCACCGGGTTACCATGGGCCTTCCCCCAAACCCCCAAACCCTGGGATTCGGCACCAACACAGCTGCTCATCATCACACTCCAACGCAGCTGCTTTTGCAGGGCATCGGCTCCATCGGTCTTCCCAGCGCCTCTTCCCAGCGAAGAACCGCCCCTTTTGGTACATCCATCAACCGATCCCGGAGACCGAAGAAAAGAGAATTTGGGGTCCAAAGTGGTCCAGGCAAAACTGGCTTGTGACCGACATCAACACCCATCACAGTTTGGAGAGCCAAGCCGAACTAGTCATAGGTATGGAAAAATGTCACGTAGATCCGAAGATCCATGTAGAAAAAGAACACAACATTGGAAACAATGACATCGTCGACCTCTTAAAGACTCGCAACTGTATTGTTCATGCCTTCCATTGCCTTCCCGCCCAGTGACATTCTTGCAAGGAGAGGTCCCGCCCCAGCACATGCAGCGTCTTTGCCTTCAGAATTTCAGGCGGGAGCCTCAGGAGTGAGTTCCTCACCCTTCTGCTTGTGGAGAGAAGCAAATAACAAGACGGAGAAGACCTTGGGCCTTGGGGTTTAGGATGGTTTAGGAGGAAATTTCTGGATTTGCTTAAGTGGGTGTTTTTGCTCTTTTGCGAACGTTCTTACACTCCGATACCCATTACGTTGCTCGTGTTGTGCTTGTGGTGCTTCTGGTCAGGCTTGGGTTCAATCACCGTCTGCTGCTTCGCAGTGTTCGAGGCCGTGCTTGCCGCTTCAAACACTATATATAGTCATGTATGATGTGTGTGTGCAATCAAACCGAAGCATCAGCATTCAACCAAAGAAATCTTTGTCAGTTGCTGGTTTTACTTTGATCAGTGAAGCAGGCTGCCATCGTGGTTGTATAAGCGACATTCCGTTGTCAACCTCTGCTCACTCCTCTGACGCTTTTAAGTGGGGCAAAACCGTCCGTTTCAGGTGTCCAAAACACCGTCACGGGTGGCAGCTAACCGAGGCATGACAGGTGCTCGACGAGGAACGTGGAACACATGTTGAGCAAGAAACACATCCTCGATACATGCGACGCAACGAATGATCGACTGATCGACCGGTTGTGTGGCCGGCCTTGTGGTCCAAACCAACCAGGCCCGATGGGCCGGCCATGGCCAAAAAACCCGGGTTCCAGTCCAACCCACCTGGGTAGCCAAAACCACCGAATCCTGCCGGTGGTGGCCCCTTGAAGCCGAATCTCCTTGGTCTATTCCTGGCCATTCAGCCAACACATTGTTCATGAAGATTGCCGACCTTTTCTTTATAGTTATGCAGCCAACTTGTCGCCACAGCCACATGAAGATGGGGTAGCGCCAAAAGTAGCAAAGCGCATAGCACACTGAAGCCTTGCTGGCATCAATTCGGACTTGCTCCTATGAGATCCTGTATGCAATATGACATTTTGATAGAAAAGCATCGAGTGTTCTCGCCTTTCTGTCCAGCAACATCTAGTTAAGAACATTAGCAATTTTATATTTGTCATCTGGAAGCCACTGGCCCCATCGTATCTTGTGCCATCCCAGGTATTCCAAGGGCGGATTGTATACAGAAACTCTCTCTTTGCAGACTGCAGTCTGTGCATTCGCAACGTCTGTTTGCCAACCAGTGTTCAAACTTTAAAAGCAACTTGGAGGACGAAGTCTTCATAAAACCCTTCTGGTCCCTTGATTGTTCCTAATAAACTTGAAGCACATCCCCCTGGACAACGCAGTTCCAAATACTGCGTGGTGGTCAAACCTGTCAAACCTTTGGTTACCACCTTGGCCCCTCAAAAGGAGTCCACGCCCCGAAAACAACACACGCCCCTTCAAAATTGGCGTCCACGTCCCGAAACGCCGGACGTGCCTTCTTACTCCACACCCTCAAACACGCACCTTCCAGGTGAAACTGGGATACCGACCGGTTCACCGGTCGTTCACGTCGGTCACCGTCCCATCCCGATCTGCCAAGGGTCCGTGAATGAGATCCATATCGTGGTGCCTGCGCGTGAGGAAGCTACTCCGACCCAATCAAGGACATGGGAGAGATGTTGTGAAGACGAAGGGGGTCTTCTGGTTGGCGGGGAGGGGAAGAGATGGATTTAAGGAACACAAACATTGGATGAGGGTCGTTGGAGCAACATGAGAATTCTCTGAGGCAGCGTGGTAGCTTGGACCGGTCGGAAGAGCTTCCTTATCCCTTGTTTTGCTGGAAGAGATCCCTGTTTAAATTCAGCAAGGAATCATCGTGAAACAAAAACAAATTGAAGGCACCAACAAGAATGGTACTCAGTGGACTGAGTCGTAGCTGTGATGTCCCTCCGATCCTCGGAAACCGGAGTTGTCAACCCCCAGCGAGGCCAGGGTGCATCAAGGCAAACCAATTCTAAACAAAAATGGCAAACCAATTCATGCTTCTCATTTAAGTGGGCAACCGAAAACCTTCTTGATTTCCTCTAGTCATGACTGGATTTCCTGAACGTTCAACTCCCCTGGATCAGTTTCTTTCGATGAATAACACCCCACATGAAGAGGTGAAAAAACCATCCATGGTCCATGGGGACTTTTTTTTTTAAATCAATTCCTCTACATGAGAAGAAACCGAGCCTTCGTTGCTTGAGCCCCGGGTCCGGATCCCGACCGGGACTCCCGCCTCCTTGGTCCGGAGTGGCTTCTCCCTCTTCCGGCTTCTCCTCCCCTGACACCAAGCGCTGTCAGGTGAGGAACCGACTTCGGGAACACAGGTGCTGCAAGGAGGTCCTGTCACGGCAAAACAGACCATAAGAAAGCAGCTGCAGCAGCAGTACACAAGGACAACGCACTTGAACAGCCCTTGGCAGTGATGATCATTGATCGGGCACAATCTCTCGTAGTATCGTGATGTAATGTATCGTCAAAATAGACGTAAACTCACTCAGGGGAAACCATCTATGCAAACACGCTTCCCAGCTCCCAGCTCGGTCACACCAGTGAAACCTATGAGCCCTTTGAGGGTCTCCTGGAGACAACCCCGGCGCACCGATGCGGTCATCTGTTTTCCACACTGGGGGTCCACCAATCGATGCAGCTGTTGTTTGGGGTGCACATTCCAGCAAGTACTGCTGAAACATCCCTAGACAAGCAACATGGACATGCTGACATGCTTTACCAAGTCCATCAGGTCCATCATTGTCATGGCACCCAGAGCTTGGGACCAGGTTGACCATGTCCAGTGGTCTATTCTATCCATGTTCGGTGGTGAACCAAGGCCCCAGTTTGAACCACCGCCACCTTTTCTAACCTAATAGCGATGGCCTCCAACCCACTAGCGATGGCCTGCAACCTACTAGCAATGGCCTCCAACCTATTAGCGATGGCCTCCAGCTTTTAGCGGGTGTCGAATCCACCATCTTTTCGACAGAAGCTCGGACAGGTCGAGGCACTGTGCAGCAAAGGGCTCGGATTGCTCGCCGCTGAGGAATCACCACTGACGCGGGTCATCTCCATGGGAGCACGCTGACGCATGAACGAGGCACAGCCCCTGGTCAGGGGGGATGCTTGGGAGGCTTGACCTGTCTTTTCTTTCTCGGGGAGCAGAGAAAGAGATTGCCAGGTGAATGGATGCTTTCAGAGGTCTAGGTTTCAAATTTAAAGGCCACCTCAAAAGGAACTCATAAGCCAAGGGACCTCGATGTCCCAGACGATGAACTTCGCAGGAATCTGTTCAACGACAGTTTCACAAACCAAAATAAGAAAAATGCCCTTTCAACGAAAATCTATAGCTAGTTTTCATGTGTTTTGGTGTCTCAGTTGGTCTGCGAGTGTCACGCTCTTCGTCTGTTGTCTTGCAAGGCTCTCTAAGCCAACAGGCGCAGGCGCTTTTTTCGGCGCGTTCGGCGCGCGCTTTCGGCGGGTCCACGCTCTTCACACTCGGAAGAACTTGGAACTTCGCACCGAACTTCGCCAAAAAAAAGAACCCGAACCCCACTTCCGACTGCAAAGCTCCTGTGGAGCTCCTGCGGAGCTCCTGGAAAACACGGAACCTCCCGTGGTGGTGGCGAACTCTGGGACTGAGGGTCGACTCTCTGCGACGAATCCGTATGGTCTCGACCCAGAAGTCGAAGTCTCTCGCTCAGTCTGCGCCCTTTGGATCCCTTTAGACCGGTGAAGAAATTGGGTCAACGATGGTCAACGGCTCCATTTCTGGCCAAAGTCGGGCGCCCTTTGATCCTTTTTTGGGGGGGGGGAGTCGGGCTCATCATGCTTCATCTGCTTCTTTCTAGGTACCCGGTGCGGTGAGTTCGCCGGCCGGAACGAGAAGACTTACTGTATATAATTGTTATCTTTCCGTGATAAGCAACATGTATGTCATGTTGTTTCTGTTCACTAATTCATAAGACCATCCCCTATTAATTAATCGACATAGTGACATAGCTTACAGATTGCGTCCTGCACCACCCGCAAACTGCACCACACTGACCTCTAAGGATTGCAAATGCGCTCGGGCCATGGCTTCCTGCTCCTGTTCGAGATGCTCTGTCCCTAGGGTGAGCAACACAAATTGAGGATGAGCTTGAAGGTTCCAAACCACCAGTGAAACTGGAGGAATATGGTCTATTTTCAAGGTCCAAAGTGAAGTGTCATGAAGTGTCAGTGGCTTCTCGATTGCCAGAGTACGTTAGTGTGCGAGAGGGTAGTGGTTGAGTGGCTTGTTGTGGCCTGTCGACAGCTCATGAGTCAAAACCTGTAAACTAGCAGGTAAAACTTGAGGGGTTGCTTAAGTTGACCCTCCCACAGCCACCCTGGAACAATATATATAAATATACCATCGTCGTATTAATAAACATATTAATATATATTGTATATAATAATATATAATATGAGATATTATGACCGGCTGGGACATGGATCGGAATGTCATTCACATTCCGGGATGCTTTTTGGCATTTTGATATGATTCAACTTCCATTCCATACCTAAGAAGACAGCTGTGCTTTGCAAACGCTCAAACTTAAACATGTCCGTTTCCACCACGAAACACAACGGTTGATCTTCTTGGTTGACCACCCCTTGTATACATGAAACTGGTTCCACGAACAACACACGTAACTGGAAGGTGTCGTTTTGTGCCTAAATAATTATTCCGAACAAATTCTGGGGCTGTATGGGAATGGGGGAATGGGAAGTACCTTGCCCTGCTACCTGACGCTTATCCTTGCTTGAAATATTATCCATAAAATTTGTTCCACACAAAAACCCTGGAGGTGACATGACCCTTCGATGAGTTTTTGATCGTTTTTGGCCACCCACTACCCATGCTTAAACATTGGTTGAATTGTAAGTCTGGGGATACTTGATACCATTCACATCTCACTCTATGTGGATTGCATCTCTCTGGACCCAAGCCTGCTTCGGATCTCTTGGGGGTCAGCTCATCTGTGGGGGTCAGTTGATCTGTAGTCTAGAGGATATGCGTTCAATTGACCTCTCCACAGAAATACAGCAGCAGCCCCACGCAGAGTCGCCGAAACCCCTCGTCCTGCACCGCTTGGCGGCTGCGATAGCCGCCGCCAATGGCCGTGATCTGACTGCTCTGGTAGGAGCCATCCTTCCTGGAGCTCGGGCACCTCTTGGAGGGTGAGTGCGGACAACAGTGATGTCCCAATAACACAGAGGACCCCGTGCCCAGAGGATCGATATGGATCTGAAACATGGACGGAGTTTTTTCCAGTGCCCACTGGAAGTGTCTGGCCTTGTCAGGCAAGATCATGTCTGAAAGATGCTGGATGGCTTACCACGGCTGACTCGCACTCCCCGATGTTCTGTTCTACAGTGAGCGATTGGTGTGTACGAACACATGCACCCCGATGTGCCCAGACCGACAGGCAACGAAAGCTGGTGTTTGGGCCGGCGTGTGGGCATCGGGTCTGGAGCCCAGAACCCAGAAACCATTGATCTTGAGAAGATCTGATCCGGGTGTGGACTTGAATAGGGAGGTCCCCAAGCAACCAAGGGGTCGAACTGGGGGGTCTCCCTAATACACACCCATCCAACAAGGCTGTTTGGGAGACTGATGCACAGATCCACCGTTACATTGGCATCCCATCCCGACATATCCCGACGGCATCACCATCTTCTCCCGACGGAGAACTCCTGCCGAGCAACCTCCCAATCAATCCAAACACATGATCGTTTGAAGGGGGATGGAGACCTGTACTAGGCATCCCCTGTGCATTCCCCCCCTCACAACAAAAGAGGCATCATGATGCCTTTGCCATAGGCGATCTGGATTCACCATGTCTTCAACCGGAGTGAAGACACCGTTCACATCCCTGGTAGCGGTCGTTTTCCGTGGCTCTTTTCGCGTCGCTTTGAAGCCGTCTCGGCCTGGCGGTTCCGGAGTGACGCCTTGTTTTAGGCGAGTCCAGCCAGTTGTCGAATGGTCTCTTGATGAAGCTTGCTGTGCAAGACGTGCAAATCGAACTTCTCACCTGAGCGAACCATCGAACCGCGTTTGAAAAACGACAGACAGACTGGTAGGTAGCATAGCGCACTTTGAACAAACAGCAGCATGGAACCTTCGGACTGGAGAGATCAAATCGGACGGGTCTTCCAAGGACCTGACAGGGGAGCCATGTGATGGGTCAACTGGGCATGCTTTCGGTCCAGTGTTCGGTTGCCACACGGCTCAAGCCGTGTTGCGCCCCATTCATGGCTCCCGAATTCGTTGTGAGGACGGGATCCACACAAACCTCAAAAGACTCCAGGATTCCTCCAACTTCCCTCTAACTGGAGGAAATGGAGGGGGTAGTGATGCTACTGGTCGCGGTTCTCAAGCTTGCACATATTTGCTCTTCCCGGTTTCGTCTTTTTCTCCCTTCCCCAGTTCCACCGGTCGTCTTCGTCCGATTCGAAAAACTCACCCGCGAACACGTCAGTTCCAGGCGGCTCGTGTCGAACTTCCTGCGGCAAAGCCAGCACACGAAGAGCCCCGTCTTCTCAGCCTTCTCACTCACTGGGCTGGCAGAGCCCTTCACAGAACGCGAACCCGTGTGGTCGAAGGAAGCTTGTCGGGACCTGACGGCCAGCGAAGCTTCACAAAAAGCATGCCCCCTGGTCCAACACAAGCACAGTAAATCCTGAAGGAAGAAGTTACAGGAGCCCAAGCTGACACCTAAAGCAAAAGAACTATGTATATATAACTTTATAACTATAACACATTTAAGCACAACAAAACAAACACACAGGCAACATCAGGCAACCAACAACCAAAAAATCAAATCCCACAAATATGGCAATCAATTGAAACACAATGCACTCAAAAGAAACATCTGTCGACATATGTCGTGCAAGTGTACACCGTGTTTCTGAAGAGGTCGCGTTTTCGTTTCGCGTCATATCAGACCCGCATTGTCGCTGAGTGAGATAAGTAAACTTCGCTCTGTGTGTGGCGGTTCGCACAGATGTTCGTTCGTCTCGCGGGGGTTGTTTCGTCGGCGGCTGACGGAGGTCATTCGCATGTTTACGGAGGTCTTGGAGTCTTGCATTGATGGCAAACAAATACACCACCACCTTAGTCAACTACAAGACATTGCACCATTCCAGGACAGGATCAGTAGCTCATGGCCATTTCCCAAGCCCTTAGGGCCCTTGGCGACGTCTGCCGTCAACGGCTTTCAACCGTGGACGGCCGTGGACGTAGCACCGGGCTCTGGACTCGACTCATTTGACCCCACCTGGAAGTCCTGGAAAGCCACACAAGTCACAATCCAGCACTACCAAGGGCGGTCAAATGAGTCACAATCCAGCATACTCGACAGCTAAAAAAGGCTCTCTGAAAATTATGGCTCGACAAGGGACGCTTTCAGCTCATCAAAGGATGCCCGGCGTGAGACTTGCAGTTCCTCTCGTGAGCCTGGCGCTTCACTCGTCGACTCTGGCAAGCCTGCCTTGGGCAGCCGCAGCACGTGGGGGCTCCAGTGGATCCCCCGGACGGCTCCATGTCGCCAATACCGGTTTGGCGAAGTGTACAGAGGTGGAACGTGACCGAACAAAACAGGAACCGTCACATGGGCTACATCTGGGATGGTCGAACCAGGGTGCTTCGATCTCTGCTGGTAGGACATCCGTATACCTGCTTGAAGTAAACAAAAAGATATGGCAACGCAAGAGATTTGAGTATGGCACCCATCCATGGGTGGGCCGGCAACAGCAAGCTACCACAAGCGAAGTGCCTGCGAGGTTGGGACAGGGCATGGAGCAGATCTCCATCATGGAGCTATACAGTACACAGCCCGGGGTTTTGGAGTGTTCTGGGGTTCACTGGGGTCCATAGTTGTTGGTGGGTTGGAGGATGCATGATATATTATTTTATATAATGTATGGCAGTGGGTCACTACCATACACTTCCACATCATAGGAGGCTGACATCATTATGTTTGTGTTGTCGCTGGTCTTGTTGTGCCGGTCGCCTAGGTCGTTGCCACATCAAGGACGTGAAACCTCACGGGTGACCCTTGTTTCTGGGCTGAATCGGTTCGGCACAGAACACTGAGCCAGTGGTTCTTAACCGAAAAACGAACAGAATAGGCTTCTGGGGAGGTCAATCGACCAGGGTGAAATGGTCACTGACTCACAGCCCCCATCCTTGGCATCCTTGCTTTCTTTCTGACCCAGTTTACCGGCTGCTTAGCTCAGCAGCTACCGGTGTGTTGATGCTTCCAGGTAGACCAGCCACGGGCGTGCTCAAACCTTTGCTCAAGCGGCGGGACCTGTGAAATTGGAACTTTCCCAATAGGAAAGGAATCCCCCAAAGCGCCAAAATATGCCAAAACACACGCACAAATCATCGGTAACATCTTACAACATGCCTTCTCCCAAAGGTTCAAGGATGAATCTCCCACATCCCAGGATAGTTTGGCGCACCAACATCATGTGAGCGTGGAGAATTCCCTGCTGCGGATCAAGGGGCCTTCAGGGGCCTTCAGTCAAAAAGAACAGCCATATGCTCCGACCCAAATCGTTGCAGAGAAGGGTCGGTTTCTTCCGCAGGATTCGGTGGAAAGCTTCCATTCCGCAGTAGATCACTTGTGAGAGCAGGGAGGAAAAATGGTCTTCCCATTGGGGCGCATCCCACCTCACCCATGAGTATATACTGTAGATATATATATATGTGTGTGTCTCTCTCTCTCTCTATATATACATATACTTTATAGGTTGTTCCCCCAGTAACAGTTGAACATAACAGTTGAACATGAGGTGCATAAGCACCTTATGAACACAAATGAACGCAGCCATGATTGTTTGTCGCCTTTTACTGGATAACGAGATAATCCAATATATGATACTATAAGCCATATTGTCACAGAAAGTAGCTATCTAGATCCGCTGTGTGTCACACCCTACCTGGTCATACCAATCCGCGACAAATCAGTAGTAGTTGCAACACTTTGTGTGTGGGACAAACAACAAGCAAACAAACATTATATCCAACACATGTCCATGTGTACAAACCGGTCCCCAGCAATGGATTCCCAACCAATGGGGCCAGGAAACTCATCACCTTCGCCATCCGCGTCTCGTCCCCAGAGCTTGGCCGCTTCGTCCCCCTCGACGCCATGGGAGGTGGCGCGCACTGCGCGGGCCGGTGGCGTAAGGCCGGTGGCTGCGGCGCATATGTGTCGTGAGCAAGGGAATCTGCAGATCTGGTGTTCAAAGAATTCCAAAAGGAACCACGCACCGGTTTGATCCTGTTGGGGGGGATGCATCAATTTTCTTGAAGACTTTAAGACTTCAGGTGCTCTCTACTGGGTTTGGTTGGAGATGTGGGATTGGATCTTGTTTGGTGGATCTTTTGAGTTGGTTTGGTCCATTTCTGGGAGAGAAAAAAAGGGGGTTCGCCCAGGAACTCTTGTGAGGGTACAAAAATACGGGTGTGGAATGGTGTGGACATCCTTAATTAAAGTAGATTTACCATATTTTGCATGTATGTAAATGCACTCCCAGAAAACAATCTGATCACCAGCTTTGGAAGGTCTTTCCCCCAAATACATCCAAACGTCTTCTGGGACACCCAGAATTCTCCCTTCGCAGCGAAGAGCGTCGTTCTCCTGCGAGTCACCCGGGCCTCGGGCGAGAGAGGAAGAGCACCCCTGGATCTCCCCAGCACCTGACCTGACGATCCACCTGTATGTTACACAAGCCAACCCTTCAACCCTTGTTACTAGTAGCGTCCTTGTTCCTAGTAGTAATGCCAGGAGCTACTAGTAGCATCCTTGCTCCTAGTAGCGATGCCCTTTGCTGTTGAGTGGGGTGTTCCAATTGGGGTGTCCCTTATTCATCTTATTCCCCCCCCCCGTCCAGGTTTTGCAGGTGATCCATGTTTTCCGAGGCAGGCGTTGAGGGGCACGTTTGTTAGTGAGTCAAAGGGTGCTCAATAGATGGAATATGGTGACAAGGATCTCTTCTCATGCGCCAAAGAAATACAAAATGAGTTGCAAGAGCAAGATCAAAGCATATCAAAGAAAAAGTAGTTGGTGGAAAACACTTTGTTGGCAAAGGGAACTCATCAAGAAGACGAGAACGGAGATAAACCAAAAGCATGCCCAAGATACCCATGTCTATTGGTATCTTCCTGCAAACCATCAATCCCAAAGTTTGGGATCCGGATCTCATCCCGACTCAGGCAGGATAAACCCATCCATTCTCTCGTTCGAGTGCTTAGGGGTTTCATAGACTTCTCATTTCCAGACCGGCGCTCCGCGGGTTTCGATCTAGTACTAGTACACCAAAGTACTGTAGAAATCCCTATCGAGAATAACTATGGAGTACTCTTGCCATGCTGTACACTATCTGGGAATAGCTTGATAATTCTGCTCAGCATGGCGATATGGCCCGTGGTATGGACAGCCGCAGCTCCACCCGCAGTATGGACGCCCGGCCCGAAAACTTCCTTGCTGTCGCATCAGCCTGGCGTGGGCATCGAGCGCCTGCCTTGCCCCGGATCCATGTGGGTGTGCATTTGGATGGATCTCGACCCCTTGGCCCTGGCTGGGTAGACCAGTCTATGTACTTTAAAAGTTTTTTTGGGTTCAGGGCTGTCGAACTGGGAGGGTCTCCTTTTGATAATGCAGGTTTGTAAGCAAATACGGCCTGGGGTGCTTGATTGACCCACGTGAGCATTTGATCAGGAAGCCAATACGACTTCTCATTGTCCCAAACAAGCATGAACATGTTGTTGATTGTTGTTGTATTTGCTGAAATGAACGACAAGCGAGGGACACACTTTCTGAACATGCCCTCTAAAACACCCATCAGCATCGTTCAACGGGGTGCCATGACTTCATCCATCCAATACGTTTGGATCACACCTTCAATCGGTGATCGCACCACCTGGAATCCGAGAATCCGCCCCTGTCCGTCTTCGGGCACGACGCAAGCCCAGTCGACCCTCCAGTCGCCCCACCCACCCACCCACCCACACACACACACACCAGAGTGACAGCGACACGGGTCGGTCCCGAACCGCGGGGACCGGCGGGGCCGGTGTCGACTCGACGGTGACCGACGGGACGAGTGTGGCAAACATGCCATGGGCGGACGACTCGGCACCTGGGGCCGTTTCTCCGGAAAAGAGCAGCGCTGGAAGATCTTCTTTCATGGTGAAGATGTCCAGGGATGAAGAGGAAGGGACTGCCCATCGGGTGATGGTGATGGTCATGGTCATGGTGATGGTCACGGTCATGATCATGATCATGATGATGATGATGATGATGATGATGATGATGATGATGATGATATACGGTGTGGTATTTTTGTTGAAATAACCTCTGATATCCTCTCATCTTCATAATGAATCCTATTGGTGTTCAGTCGAAGCTGACCACCTTAGTATGGGAGACAGGCTTAACATGCGTAAAATCGGTAATGTCCACCACTTTAAAAACTCAGCCGAATTCCAATACTGTAATATATAAATGAGTTTCAGGGTTAGACAATATTGTCATGCACAAAGAGACCGAGACCCCGGTCTCAGATCTCGAACTTTACCAGGACAAGTAGACGAACACCAGCCACCACATACAAACACCGAGTTCTGTGGGGGGTCTCCTATATTGCAATACACAACCAAAAAACAACATATTAGATCATATTAGGGTGGATATATGGGCGCATTAAAATAGGGATCCACAGGGCGATCCCCCTCGCTGCTTGGCCCAGCACCATAGTAGGACACGGCGCTCTGCTCGCGCTGGGTGCTCTTACCTGACGGCCCAAGAGACCAAGAGGCGAGTCAGTTAGTGAATTTTCTGAGAAAAACTGTCAACCTTCCAACACCTTTTCCTGGGTGATGTTGACAGTTGATTCCTAACCCACTTCACAACCGGAGATGTTTCACCAATCTCTTCTCAGTGGTCTCAGTTTTTGTGTTGTTTTTGTGCGCCAATATCCCGAACCTCCTTCCCAGCTGGACCACCTGCCTCCCCGAACTCCCAGCCTCCCCGGCCTCTCCCCTTCGAGCCTTTGGATTGCTCCTCTGGACGACCGGAGCAGCCGCGCCGGGTTTGGAGAGGGTGTACCGGTTGGCACTCGCCCAGGCACCCTAGGATGGACAAAATCATTCACCACCATGTCGCATGGACATACGGGTACACAGTCCAGTGCCTGCATCACTACGTGCAGGGTTCGTCCACCAAACAAAAAGGAACAACAATCAATCACGCACTACCTGGATACGAAGATGCATACACAGCCACAAGTGGTCAAACAAATCACATGTCTTGTCTGGTCTAGCCATTCAAGCTGTTCAGAGGCTGTTCAAAGCCTTTCTGGGCGAATGGACACATTGCAAATTGACATGTGCACCCTGCGCACTGGGATGGCATGGTTTTCTCCAGGTGTCGCCCTTGCATTAAATCCAATGTTGCACATGTTGTGAACGTGAAAGTCAAACACTCCAAGGAAGCAAATCTGAGCCAAATATCATAAATATCAGGACATTTTCAGGGTACATGAACTTGAACCTGAGAAGCTGCAAAACGAAAACCAACGCTTTTTGTCCACGAGCACGTTGTGAAGAGAGATAGTAAAAGTGCAGCGGTAGCTACCTGGGTGCGCTACCCTGGGCGCCTTGCTGGCTCCCGGTCTGCCCTAGATTGAGGCGCACGCGCGCGCGGACCCAGGGCAGCTAACTACAAGGCAGTTGCCTGGTATAGCACTTCAATTTCCCTTTCCGTCAACCGCTGCCGTGACAAACGTGCAGCAATCCACGTACCCAGGGTAGCTACAATGCAGTTACCAGGTATAGGACCCTTTCCATTAGTCGCCCGGTAACCTTTAGAAACGTGCAGCAATCCACAGCTTTGAATTGCTTTGAACTTATATAGGTGTGTAAGAGGTGTAGCAAAATAGCATTTATACGGACGCAGGGCAGCTACAATTCAGTTGCCAGGTCTCGCACGTCAATTTCAATTTCAGTCGCCAGGTATAGCACTTCAATTTCCCTTTCCGTCAGCCGCTAGATAACCTGGAGAAACGTGCAGCAATCCACGGACTTGAAGTCTCATTAGTGCTTTAAACTTATATGTGTGTATAAGAGATTATGCATTCACAGCTGCACGAAGCTACAACACATCGGCCTCGGTAAAACTACACCTTAACATGCAGATGATGCAAATGAAGACAATTGCATTTCTTACATCACCAGCCGCTCAAAAATAAACAAAATCACCTCCAACACAACCTCAAAAACCTTGCTTCCGTGCACCCCTAAAACACCACCTAATTTCGAGTTTACGTTTCTCAGCACCACCCCCCCAGACCTCCTACTTACTCACTTCGTTCGCCAAACACAACTCAGCTGGCGGCTTCTACGAAGGCTGGCTTTCGTAATTAGCATTAATTATAGGTTCAGGTCTTATGAAACAACAAAAAATGTGTTCCATCTATTTAACATGCGTAGGACGAATCTCGAACAGTTCGCTCGCACACACCGAAGCTGAAGGAAGCAAGTTATAGTTTTCCGGGCAGTTTTCCGGAGTGGGCCCTGTGCGTTCGAAGTGCTTTTCTCTATGGCTTTGCGCGAGGGGCTCATGTGCGTGTGTCTAGAGTCTAGAGCTGAAACCGGCTCGTTTGAGCTAAAACATATCGCATTTGCCCATGCAAGTGCCACAAGAAGCGGGTTTTGATCGGTTTGGCACTTCTTTCCGTACGTATTTTTCACATCCAGGCCTCGGACCTGGAGCGTTTGGCCAGTGAACAAAAACAGCCGCCTCCATGGCTTGTAGTGCTTTCTGCTCCGCCTCTTGCTCCTCACCCACTCCAGAAGGGGCGGATGGATGGCTGAGCCGTGTGACATGATGAGCGAGCGGCACTTGAATGAAGAAAAACATGGAAGGAGTGCAAGAATCCTTGCAGAAAGGGGTACTCACCTACGCTCGGTCTCTTTTAATACACATTCGTCACATTCTGTGTATTTCTGTGTGGTTGCAGATCTCCTTTGCATGGAACTGGTCTCCACCAACCAGGTGAGCAAGCACGGTGCCTGGAAACCCTGATGGCTATGTGCCATGTGCCCGAACGAACAACTCGGCAACCTGTCTGATATCCCTCCAGTCCAATTGTTACTGTATCTGGTTGGTGGTTTCAACGCACTCACACAAAATACTAGTCAGTGGGTTCAATATTCCCAAGTACAGGTTGAAGCAGCTTTAAAAATTAAAACAAAACGACGCCATTCCACCATATTCCACCCATACCATCCTATACCCATAGATGATGAATGTACTAAAGCTAAGGAGAGACCATCTTAGGTACTGCTCCAATTTACAGCAATCCCAATCTTCCTGGTCTCTTCCAAGCGAGGTCGGGAGTCAATAGTACAGGACAAGTGCAAAAGCTAGGCATGTGTTCACCATTTGCTTTGTGAGAGAAATTGGCTGCCGGTCCAAACCCGGCAAATCATCCATGGTAGACCTCCCTTGCCCTCCCTTGTAGCCTATCTTGTAGCCTTTTCGCTGGGCCTCCAGGGTCCCTCGGTTTGGCCTCCCAAACCATCCCATCCCACCTTCGCCCGTCTCAAGGCATCGAAGACCGAGACGAAACGCTCCGGGAGCGCCCCTTGCGGCTGCACCTGCGCCCGTTCGGCGACCCAGCGCGCCGACCCTCTGCCACGTGCAGAGGCGAGGCATGTCTTGTGGAAGGTTGCTTTGTAGTGATTGCTTGTCAAGATGTTGAGCTTGTGAAGAATATCACTCACAGATGTATGATTTTGATTGGTGTACAATATTATCGCTAGCCTCCTATGGATCTGACCATTTGTATAGTGAAAATAATATGATTGTGGAGCTGACTGTGATATCATATAGTCCTGCTACTATGACCCTGCAATATCACACCATCATAAAGAAAACACCGTGTTGCGTTTTGGGGCTCGGACGTGAAGGTCAAACACCATGTTGGCCCCCCAAAGGGTGAAACATCAAGGCTTCGTCCTACTCCCATGTTCCCACCGATTTCTCCGGCCTCATCAGGCTTTGGGGTGGTGCAAGCCTGGAACCCACAAGGCAGCGGTGGGGGGAAAACCCCGCACCGTTGCTGAACAAAGAGAGAGAGAGAGAGAGAGTGGATCTGTATAGCAGCCAGCACCCGTTTTGGGGCCGGTGGTAATAGAACTGAAACAAGCTCCAAAACAAGAAGACACATGGAGCCGTTTGCAACATAGTTGTGGGTTAAAACCAGGACAGCTTGGTTGACTGAATATGAGCGTCTGCCAAAACGTACTGACAAGTAGAGGACATGATTCAGCAAGGTGATCGCTTTTGAGGAGGGCCTACCACTTTTATAGCCACAATGGCCGTTGCTCATATGATGTTGGTCAAGCTACATGGTGGATGCTGGGGCTAGACCCATCCCCACATCTTGCAGAGGTTTGTATGACATGGGCCTTGCCAAAAAGGTGTTCACCTAGCGCCGCGCCGAAGAAAACGCCTCGGTTTGCCCAGCGCCTCGGCCACCTTGCGCCAGTCGCCGTCGCCACTTAAGGTTTGCCGATGGCCCACCACAAACAATTGCAGCCTGCGAGTCGCCAGGCGAAGTGGGAGGAGAAAGCGAGGTTGAACGGTGCAAACCCTGTGCCATGGGAAAATGATTTGGAGCCATTGGGTCTCACCCGAAACACTCCATGTACCGAACATCGTGGAATATGCTAGATACCCATGTCAAATGTTGGGTCCACATGCTGGACGACAACAAGCACGGGTTCGCAGTCTACGTCGCTTCCCGGAGGACCTCTGGAACCAAAAAGCTGCTCAGCTCTCTACTCCGCTGGCCCTAGACCCGTTCCATATTCCATTAGCTTCCATTGCTCCCTCAGCTGGTCAGCCTATTGATGACAAGCTTTTGACGCATGCGAGGCAGTCCAATCTTCCCAAGGTATCTCAGAACCTTCCGATCCTTCCGAGCCTTCCGATCTCTTCCTCTTCCACCAGTCGTGGACAGCCCTGTCTCCGTGGACAGCCCCAGGGAAAGTGCTCTCTGAAAAACCGGTCTGGACAGGGCCCCCTGTGCTCTATGGCCTGGATCGTGATGTGGCCACACAAATCCGCTGGGCATCCTGTGCGCTCCGCAGAGTCACCAATCCGGTTCGAAGGGCTTCGCGGTGTTTTCGCGGGGGTCGCTTGGACTGGACAGTCGAGGTGTTCCAAGTGGGGTCAAAGGAAGTTGGGCTCAAAAAGGAACAGTTGTGCAGTGAGCCTTCCTAGTTAGGAGTGCGGAAAGGAGTGTCCTTTTTCTTTACCCCAAACCCTTCCTATAGTTAGGCGCTATGTGCCCAAAGGATTGCATCAACTATGGAATTGCGGAGCTGCCTCATTCATCACATTCCAGTGCATTACAGCCCTGGGTCCTAGGATGCAAGTAGGTTCCATGCCGCAGCCAGTGATCGTGTCTCTGGCCAAGGTGTCAAAGTTCCTGTATACTGAATTGGATATACACAGTCGAAACATGTCGAAACAAGTGACTCCATGTCTATGACGAAAGCCAAATAGGAACCATACCCTGGGTTTGATGGTTTGATCCTGCATGTTGGAATTCCGAATGAAGTCGTTCAAGGAACCATACCATTAACATCAATTAACTTCATCCATGTGTCTTGGAGCGGGTGATCTGCAAGTCTTGTGCGGGCATGTGCGGGCATGATGGGGCATCCCAAACAAGCCGGTTTTTGATGCACGGATGGCCATGACCAATCCCATGAATTGAGCATCAAAGCTGCTTGTTCGGGGTCTTCTTTTGTTTGTATTTCAATCATTTTCAATCTATAGAATTTGAAATCGTTCTTCTGCAGTGTTGAGACTTGGGCCAAACCCGTGCAACATGTTCGCTTACACCGGTGGCCGAACACTGGTGGAAAGCTTCGCTTCGTATCAAATCACAAACAGGATGTAAGCAAGCTGGGGAGTCATGCCTGGTGTTGGCCTAAAGATGCCTAAAGATGCGAGAATGCTCAAAGACTCTTTGCTTTTGGCAAGTGAAATAATGAAAACTTGAAGGCTAACGGCTGGCAGGTTCATCCAAACAAAAACTGAAATCGTTCACTCTTTGATGAATACCGGCCGTACATCTGGGGGTCATTGATCAACCGTTAGAACGACCATGCTTTTGCTCACCCGGGACCCGTTGCACTTTTCAATCCCAAACACTCCATGGATGGATGGTACAAATGTTTACCGTGACCTTTTCCCCCAACTGATTCTTCTCACATCTTCATGTCGGTGTTTAAGGCGTGATGGATCTCCACCTGACGTCTCCACCGATCTCCGGTTGACGTCTCCACCGCCTTTACGAAGCCCAAACGAAGTTCACGATTGGCTCGTACGGTGCTCCTTGGGGGCGAGACGTTGATTGATCGGAGAGAGTGACGTGCACAGCGCACAGCGAGACGGATGAGGATTGCTGCTCTGTAGAAAGAAATGAGGCCAACCTCTTCTTCAACCCTCAGAACGAAGAGATACGAAGAGCATCAACGAAGCTCCCGCACGTTTTTGGACGTCAAAAAAGGAACACCTCAACCCATCCGTCTGACGGCCGCCTGGACGGGCGCACCTGTCCGTCCGTGCACTTCAGCCCGTCCACACCAGTTGCGGCCGGGGGTCAAGATCACGAAGTCGAACTCGCTACCCTGACAGGCATCCACGGTGAGCACCTGCAGTACTGCACCAAACGGCCGGATTTCCGGCGAGGAAAGGTGCGGGTGCCGGCATGTGCCGACAGCAGAGTTGGTTGCAGCGCGGCAACGCGCCCAGAAAAACGGGGTGAGGTCATGTGTTGAGAAACCAAAAGAATCGGAGGATTGAAATGGACGAGATGTCGAAAGATGCTTGAATGTTCTGAGATGGCGTCCTGGCTATGCCATGTCATTGGTTCCTGTTTTGGGTGATTTTCCCCTGGCCAATGGACTCCTGCCACAATATCCGCCTCAACGTCCAGGTCGTTGGGAACGGCCTCAACAGGCGCAAACAAGATGTGAAAAGCACTACAATTGGTGAAGTGGTGTGAATGTCGCATGAGCTGACTCGTCCTTCCGACAGCTGACTTGATGCTCTGGTGAAGTTCCGAGTCAAACAAAACATACAACAACCACTGCTGGAAGTCTCCGACATCCAACCCTCGGACCAGCGTGCTGGTCATGTACCTGTGTGCTGGTGTCCCGGTACCTTGGACACCTCCAACCACGGCAAACATCGCTGGACTCCCCCACAAAAAAATTGATCGCTGGGACTGACTGGTCTTTGTTGACTGTACCACATTTGAAAAGGGACAAAAAAGGCAAAAAAAATCTGCAATAGTTGGAATTGGATGATCCTAGTTCTATCATCACCTCTTCCCGTCCCGGAACCCAATCTCCAGACATCGCCACCTTCATGAGCTCTTCCAACTGTCCTCACGGCAAATTCAACAGGATCACCCTGTCAGAGGAGTCCGATGCCTTCAGAAGTATTCATGATGGTAGATATGGTTCGGAGATGGTGGAGATTGTGAATACTTAGATCTAGGACATGAGGCTTGAAGTCAGCCTGAAGTCTGAGTCGTCTTTCAAAAAAATTAGGTAGTTACTCATTCAACACCATGTTTGAACAAACAAACCGAACAAAGCAAACAACACCAAGCAAAACACAACACAATCAAACAACACATAACTAAGACTAATTAATATTTAATGTTCAACCGTAATTTAAGTTGACAAACAATATTGTAAATGAACAACTTCTGGAGAAAAGATGTCGAGTCGAGTCATGTCGAGTCTTAACTTGTATTATGCCCATTCCCACTCATGGAACCTGCATCTTTGCTTCTCAAACAAAAGCGAGCAAACCTGGTTGGTGGTTTCAACTCGCAACAAAAACAAACAGTATCTGAAACCACCACTGGTTTCAACCCATGGTTTCTATATTAACACTCCAATTTACCTTGGGAGTCGATCTCAAAGACAGAAATTCCGAGCGAGATTGGAGGTCCATGTCAGTTCCAGCCCCGAGTGTCAGTTCCAACTGTTGGATCTCTGAGAAGCAACCAAACTCCGCAAAAAAAGAACTGCGATCCATCCGGATCGCATCATCCATCCCCAAACACGACTAATGGGACTGCCATAGGACTGCCGATCAGTGGGGGTGGTGCCAGAGGGGTCAATGGGGCGGCATATATATGGCAGTCCCAGACGGGTCGTGTCTGGGATCGTTTGCTCACGACCTACAGTCGTCGTGCAAACTCAGTTGGTGCAACTCCGGTGCAGGACGCCGATGGTTCTCTTCTCTCTGTTGGAGATTCATTGGCCCTGGTGGGAAACAGATGGCCGCCACGGTGTTCTGTACATCCCAAGCCACGGTGTTCTGTCACTTTTCCATGTTCAAGGCTCAAAAATACACCCCAAATCCACCGGAGATAGTCAAAATAGCCAACAACAGCATACAAAAGCAAGGTGGGTCATAAGAATAAGGATTGGGCATTTAATTAGTGCCAGATTGGCCCTTCCTGGTTCTTCGGTTCTTCGTTTTTCCATGTTTTGTCTTGTTTCTCAAACGCGGGGTCGAAAGCGACGTCTTGGCTGCAACCGATGCTCGGCCGGGGCCGTGCCGCACCCGAAAAATCGATGCCACATTTTTTGTCGAGGACGTTCATCGAAGATCATCGAAGACCCTGGTGATGCCCTAAGAGGGCACCCCTGTGAATTCGCGGGGGCACTCTGTGAGACTCGCTACATCTGTGATGCCACTGAATTCATCTGTGGGTCAAAACCAAGGAACCGGCGCTTTTTACCACCGAACATGAACAGAATTGACTAGACTAGACATGACTAGACGACTTTCGACATGGTCAACCTGCGATTTCAACTCTCCGGGTTGTGACTCACAAGGGAACCATGAGAACCTCTCTTGGCGTTCACGATCAACTTCGATCAGCCAACGGCCCATTCCTGGCCGATTTTTGTATTGTGAAGGAAGCCCATCGCCATAGCGAGATCGAAACACCTAAAGACCAATGATCGAAAGCAATCAACGACAAGACTTGGAAGTTGGTGTAGTTGGTGTCTTTCAAAAAAACATGTGAGTCTTTGAAGGCAAATGTTAGTGAGTCGATCAGCTATGGGCTGCGGGTTTGCAGAAAGTGGGCTATGCAGACCCTATTTGGTTGGAAAGTCCCTTTTTTGGGCTCAATTCAGGCGGTGATCTTCCAAAACTGTTTCCTGCGCACAGGCATGATACCCAAACCATGATACCCAAATCATCCATGGGACTGGACAGAGATTCGGACAACTACCAAGTGGTACTCCCTTCTTTCGGGTTTCCTCTCTGGTTTCTTGTCTTCTCGAAGTGGATACCCTCATTCGCAAATTATATCAAATTATACTGTTTTCACTGGACTAGGTGGAAGAAGAGTACCTAGCACTGAATAGATTTAAAATCAAACGGCCATCATAGATCAAGAAATAACACAAAAACATCTGAAAACATATGGACACCCTTTACATCCCTTTACCACCCTGTGCCCTGGAGTTTGAACTATTGGCCTCTCCCTTTGGGCTGGGAGGTTCGCGAGTCCGGTTTTTCATTCGCTTAAGAGGTCGTGCCCCAAAGCTCCATGCAAAGTCATGTTCTCCCATTCTCGTCGTTTACATGTACGGGTGCGAGCTCGTTTTCCGTCATGAACAAGTGGAACCAAAACACCACGTGGAGTTCTCAATGAGTCTCAGTTTCGTCAGCTTCCGGTGAAATGGACTCGGAACGCGTCAACAACGGGTGACGTGGTGTGATTCCCGACTAAAGCTCCCGCTCCAAGAAAGCGGACACTCCCCAAAAAGCAACCGCTTGGAGAACTTTTGGAAAGCATCCGCATATGGATACGTGTTAGATAATTACATGGTAGACTAGTACTGTTGATGAAGAAGAGACCATAATATATATGTATATAAGAGGCTTTGCAATCCACATAGGGAGTTATGAATTTATATCTCAGCATTCTACATGAATGGCTCACTTTCCTCAATCCCTTGGAGGGTCCAGGCAGTGCACATGAGATCTGCATGAGGTTTCCCTCGCACGCGCGACCGCTGCGTGAGGGGGAAGGAAGGCGCAGTGGATGACCAAAAGTCCAGATTCGATTTCCCAAACGATTCAGAATGTGGTCGGAAAGTCTTGTTATAAAGTCGAGATTTCGGAGAGTTCTACAATAATGTACGGAAATGTGCAGAATTTATGGATTTCGAGACAAAATGAGACAAGTATAGTCAGGTGGAGATCTTGACAAACGAGCTGGCACAAACTGGACATTCAGTGATGCTGTGGCGCGTTGTTGCGGCACAGACCGTGCCAGGCACAGTTTGGAAATACATCATTGGACCTTGCTGTGAGTTGCGGCAGCTGACCCCAAACGCTGTTGTCATTTAGCCGTGTCGGAGTTGGAAGACTGACGGTAACAAATACGTTTCGTGCAGCAAACGCACCCCCGAATGTACCAACCCACCATATTTCACTTCAGCACCTCAACATTGAGCGCTACACAGCATCGCAAAAGGACCAACATCACATCATCTGATAACACTTTGCCGCAAAAATCACCACGCATGAACAACAAATCACACATCACAGTACACATATTGCATTTTGGTTCGCGCCAATTAACTCTTCCCGTTCGACGTTTTACTAGCCAAAGCGGTGCACACCACCGGCAGCAGCACGCCACCAGACCAGCAGCCCAGCAGCGGCAGTAGAACATCAGCAGCTGACCAGCAAGCACATCAGCAACAGAACAGAAGCAAATTAGCAGAAAGCCAGTAGCTGACCAGCAGCAGAATTGCCCGAAGCGACCCGCGAGCGTGCTTCCAAGCGTGTTTGATCACGCTAGGGTAGGCGGGCCTGGCCCCCCCTTAGCGTGAAAGATCAAGCTCTAAGGCACCAAACTTATCCCAGCATCACAATATTGGCAAAGAAGAACTCAGCTATCGCGCTAGCTTTCGCGATTAATAGGTCGGAACTTGACTTAAAATGAATCTGGGAATAGAACTGGGAATAGACTATTGCAATGTTAATACATCCCAGTCCTCGTCCTTCCAAGATGGAGGTTCTGCACCGGGTAGGAACAGGCCAGTGAAGCTCTGTACAACTCTAAGAAACCATCGCAACCATTCACTGGCACAAGAGTGTGGGCTGAACGCCCTGTATTAAATGAATTCCGTACCAAACCAACAACTCTTCAGACCAACGGTCTCGAAGACCAGGGTAGGTCTTGCATTGAAAGCAAAAATGCAACTTGTAGATGCATCTTCCTGCTCCGCAGCTGTGCGGAGGTAAACAGACGACCTACAAGGAAAAAACTAAATCTTGATCCGCTATTCGGACATGGAAGGCTGGGTTGTCCAAGAGACCCTTGATGAAGTTCCGCGCAAAAGGATGTTTTGCAGCAGCATCCTGCAAGAGCCTGTGCCTGACGTACATGATTTGATGCAATTTCTGAGATTGGGCAGTGCAAAGTTCAGTCTGTTTTCTCAGACTTCGCTTGGAAATCCATGCGAAAAAGAATACAAAACATTAAAAATAGACAAGTCCTGTGCCTCTCATCTTCGTCCTCGACTGCGAAGTCTGCGAAGATGGCCCGCTTGATGGCCTCTCGCTTTTCTCTCCTGGGCCTCCCAAGGTCTTCCGCTTTAGGCTCATGCACCAGGTGGCAAAAATCACCTCGGGCCAGGCGGGCTAGCTTTGACTAAAGCCGAGACGCGCAGAGCTACGAAGTGGCTGGGTGTGGCTCTATGCTGCTTCCGGTCGTCTGAGGAGAAACAAACAAACATAAAAACTGTTAAAACATGTGAAATCTAGACGACCTCTCTCAAACAGCTACCCTGATGTCACATGTCGAATAAATTCTACGACAAAGGAGCTTGTTGGGAGGCGTGTCACCCAGGCAAAAAAGAACCTGTTTGATCTTACTTGTCGGTTTCATGGCTGTTTGGTTTCCAATGCCAAAGAATCACACTTCTCCTTGGCACAGCCACGAGCTGAGGCCCAGAAGACACAAGGATTACAGCTTCCATCCAGATGATTGGCCCAGGCCCTAGCCCTCATTTCACCCGAGTGGCGGCCTATGTCCTGCGACGTACCAAGAGTCAACTCATCTGCCATGCTTGGAAATTGCTTAAATAAAGATCCTGGAAAATCAGTATATTTAATATATAATAATAATATACATAAATGGAGTTCTCCCCATGCCAGGGGATTCACCCAGTTCGGGAAGCGCCATCACCCGAGAAAAGCGAGGGTCAGACTCAGTTCAGACGTCCATGTTCCAACACCGTGAATTCTTTGACTCTAAAGAAGAACTTTGACCGTCTGCAAGCAGCGATGAGCTTTTGAAGCAAATCCACGCCCCCTCTTCTCATCGGCCAAGAGAGA